TATCTTTACATGAAACCGAGTACCATGTCAAAGGAATTGCCAACTGAGAAACGGGATTCACACCACGTACAGGGCAGGGATCTTTCGTTGGGCTGTTTCATCTGCACGTCAGATGCCATCGGCATCTGGACTGCGGCGGGCGAACTGCGGGAAACAGCGTATATGGGAATGGCTAGAGGACTCTTTGTGAAGGCAAGATTGGGGATGGGTGTCCTACGTGCCGCGGTGATGATGAGGTTGTCACCATGCACCAGGCTCAAGTCTACTACCGGGGGACAGAGGATGATCCCGTTGTCATTGACGAGTAGAAACTAAGGCTCTAGTATCCACTTGATCGTTTCCACTGAGCTTGTTTACAACTCAACTGTTTTAAAGTTTCAAATCCACGTTCCACTCCACGCTACAGTGATGACAACCAAGTTAGGTCAAGACTCTACGACTGTTGACAGGACAGAAAGTGTTAAACCTAAGCGCTCACAGAGACGGCTACGGGTGTTCTTCAGATTCTTGGTGTGCATTAGTTAGGCGCAAAGGTGGAGGAAGCAGAGAGCACAGAAAAAAAAGAGGAAATGAAAACCAAGCACCCCGAGGAGAAAAAACTCTCGGGCGAGGGGGAGGGACCGAGCGGAGAAGAAGAAGAGTGGTGTGAACCTTGCCACAGACCTCATGGCGGCTACAGAGGCACATATGGCTTCCGCCGCTGGACGCCTTGCCCTAGCTGCGATGGGCATCAACCTTGTGGAGGCAGGAGACTCGGTGGTGGAGGTTGTTGCGGCAGCGGCAGGCCGTGGCAGACTCACTACTAGCTAGGAGCACTGCGGGCGCGGGCAGAGGCTCTAATAACTCATTGAGCCATGCTATCTAATAGTGCAGCCAAGAATGGAGTAAAGTTACCAAAACTAACCAACCTTCAACTACAATTTAATTATCTATCCACCACACTTCAGTTCCCCCCGTTGTGTTGTCCAGTGACATAAACTCCTCTGCTAGTTGTCGTGTTGCAAGTGGCAATCATCAAACCAGATCATGCACGGCCAACGGCGGGCTCGACTAGGTCTCCTGGAGAGACAACCGAAATCTCCATTGGAATTGGAGGTGCGCTGCTGTTGCGATATTTCTCATAGAAGACCTCTTCTGCTACTTCATCCAAACTATCCTCCTCCTCCTCATCGTCGGCCATACTCCCGTTAGCAATCGTTGCAAAATTAGTCATCTTTCCCCATATCGTAGCTGCCTTCGACAACAAAAGTTCGGGATCCGGAGCAGGATGGAGGTCCTTTGGCACTTCTTGCAAGGACCCAAACTTGACAAACAACACAGGCTTTTCAGGATTCGCGTGAGCCTTTGGAACTGGGCTTCCTTAGGCAAAGATGTTCCAATGGACTCAAACGTTTCAATCGTACTTTCTTGCAAACCCTCCAAGAGACCCTTTTTCGCATCACTCGCCATTTGCTTGGCGTAGTGCGCTAGACCCAACACAGCCTCCTGTAGACCGATGCGAGCCTTTTCCAGCATTTGCATTTCTTGTGCAGGGGTCACCTTTTGAGTTGAGTGGCCGCATATCTTTCGAGGAAAGCATTCGTGTTCATTGCTGCCCTTCCAAAAGCCCTTGCCGGGAGTTTTTCGGCGTCGTGCGGGAGGCGCTGAACCAGTCAGGTCCGGAAGGCCCGCCAAAACCACAGCTTGGTACCCTTCACCTCTCCACTCATTTGCTTCTTTTAGAGTCATGCATGGCACAATCAGCATCTTTGGGTCATTGCCATCCAAAAGATATTTCTGGTCTGCGAGACGCATTTTGTTGGCCACAAAGTGGACGACGCCAGTAAGATCAGGAATACATGAAACCCCCGAATTGCGGCGCCGCTTCCGGTTGTTGCTGGCAGGTGTTGACGGTGGTGGTTCACTTGTAGTTGCACAAGTCTCTTGCTTTGCCACCGCTTCGACAGGAGGTGGGGTCGGTGCTTCTGCTTGTTCTTGATCATTATCGTTCTCTTCGTCGTCGTCGTCGTCCTTCTTCACTCCTAGCTTCAAAAAGCGCACCAATGCTGGACCGGTACCGTACCGGTACTGCTGGCTTCTGTCACAATCAGTATCTTTAGATCTCTCTTTGGATCTTTGGACATGTATGTGATGTGTTTCACATTTTTGTTCCTTGCCATCGAGAAGAGAGGTCGAGCCATATCGATTCTCGTCCTAGCTAGTGTTCCCAAGATGTTGGCTCGGATTGCCTGTTTCTGTCTTTGCCTCTCCTCTGGCGTCGTCCAAAGCCTGAAGGTAGTCTCTGATCCTGCGACATTGAGCTACCACATTGAAGATACCTTTCGTCATGTTCTTTTTCGAGGTGGCAACGTTGCGTTTTTCATGGCTGGCAAATGGTGCGTCCACAAAAGCAGCGACAACGAAGTAACAGAAACATCGTCAGCCAAGAACGACCACTGGGATCTAAAGATTGGTTCTCGCAAAGAAATCAACGGGACAGAAACTGCGCTGGGCGCTTTTACAGGTTTGCAGGTAGAATGGTCTTGTGAACATGGAAGCTCTGACCCACTATCAACGACAAAAATCCTCACGGCCTACAAGAATTTTCGCTCTGGCAATGCCGTCTTGTTGGAAGTACAGTGGCCCGAAGGCGCTCTCAACACAACGGTCACTGATTACAAGTCTGCCATGACTCGTTATCCCTCCTTGATACCATCATCCATTCTGCTTCCGGATGCGCTCAGTTGGCACGGTTCCTTCACACAAAGTATCCGTGGATTTTCCGAGGGCACTCAAGGAGGACCCACTGTTTTTTTTAATGCTTCGGATCCTAGCCTGAACACTGTGATTGTGGGGAGTCCTTGGGGAGGAAATTGGAAATCATTTTCTGCCGGCAACAATAATGGACTCTATTGGGCTCCAGGTACCAGTGGACGCATCAAAGAGTTGCCGCCTCTTTACAAGCAATCCATACTGTTGTTTCAACGAACAATTGGAAAAGGAGGGGGTATCACTGGCACCCTTGACCAATGGGGACAAACGATGCAACATGCCAGCAGACAAGCTGGCCCTTGGAAACTACCAGATATTACGCTCCAGAAAATTGGGTACCAGACAGATAATGGGGCCATGTATTGCTTCTGCCATGATCGAAACTGTTCACAGACACTGCTCCAAGAAATTGACTACTTGAAGTCACAAGGCATCCCCATGGGTTACTTGTCGTTTCAGGGAGCAGGGGCGTCAAGTGGGCGTGGCAAAGCAGCACCGTGGTGTGTTGATACTTGGGGCGTCGATGGAGGGCTGGCGGATCAGTATCCAATGGACCTCAAGACGTTTCAACGCGCATTGGGATTGCCACTCCAACTATATGCCCCGTACTTTTGTCCCAACTCTAGCTACTTTCGGGACGACAGCCAATGGAAACCAGTTCATTCCGATCCGGCGCTTCCTGGCTGCAAAGCTTATGCGTTCGACAATGTAAAACCAGCGCAATCGAGATCATTTTACGATTGGTTCATGGCAAAGGGAGTTGACAGGGCAGGCATGGTCAGCTTTGAATCTGACTTTATGAATCAAAACTACAACTGTGTACCGGACTTTGTGCAACATGCCACTGCAGCGCAAACATGGCAACAAGGCATGGCAGGAGCGGCCTTGGCAAAGAACATTACAATCCAGTGGTGTTATGCGCTGCCCACAGATATTTTGGCAAGTCTCGACATGCCAGCCGTCACCAACTTTCGAGTGTCATTTGACTTTTGCTATGGCAGGAGTTGGGATATTGGCGAATCCTCTCTGCTGGTATGGGCTCTGGGATCGGCTCCGAGCAAAGACACCCTTTGGTCCACGGACAATAACAGAACGGCCATTCCCGGCTGCCCGTGGACGGCGGATCACGAACAATCTGCAGCTGAGCTCCATGTCGTGTTGGCATTGATGAGCAATGGTCCCGTGGGGCTCTCGGATGCTATTGGACAAACCAATGCCAAACTCCTCAAGCGGATCATTACGAAGGATGGCACGCTCTTGAAACCATCCAAGCCACTCACCGCAGTCGACTCGACTTTTTTGAAGCAAAGTCATCCAAGAATCTTGGCTGCTCCATCCTCCAAAGATGGTGGCTACGTGTATGGTACTGCGGGTTTGGTCTATTCATGGTACTTTGTTTCTTTCTTGCTTCCGAGCGCCTTCTCCGTCAGGATGCGAGACTTTTGGCCTCCAATCAAAAAGCAGTACAGCTATAGATTTGTGGCACGCCGTCGCCTCGGAGACCACCAGGCAGAATGCGAGAATGGCAAAGATGCAATCTTGAGTGGTTGCGTTACGTTTGTACCATTGCCGTCAGAGGATGACTTGTCCGCAATAGTCTTTGAAGCTCCTGCGATGCTTGACGACAACACACAAGGCCAGTTCACGCCAACGGTTACGGCTATTTGGCAGCCTTGTCCACAGAGTGGCTGGATCATGCTTGGAGAGCTAGGCAAGTATGTGCCTGTGTCTCCTGTGAGATTCAGAAAGGTACAATGCACGAGCTCGGGTGTTTCAGTCTCGGTGTCCGGTGCACCAGGAGAAACTGTGATCTTGACTGCCCTTCGCCCATCAGAGGCGGCGACGCTTGAAGGGTCTTTAGAAGTAAGAATACGGGGAGGAAACAAGAAGAGATTGCGCTACATGGTTGTCAAAAAGAAGGTTACTGTTCCGACAAGCCCTGTGGAGTCGACGATACTAGTAGTAGACTTCGTGGCATCTGAAGATCAGTTGCAAAGTGTAGGTCGATAGCAGGTCTTATTATGTTTTGGTTGTATACATAGTCTACATTGATTTCTTTCATTCATAATCCTATAAGTTGCTTGCGTATCTCCAATGTTGGTCGCAGTGGTGGGTGTAAATAACACTTGAACAAGCGGTGTTTGGAGGAGTCACTAATATTGTCCGTCGAACGGGCTCAAGCTTCGACTTCCATGCTGACGTCTCCCAAGAGTTTTTGTTCGTTTTGGACGTCATGCAAGTCTTCTTTCTCTTCAGCGCATCCTTTCTCCTCTTCCCCTTCCTCCTCCTTTTCCACAATGGTCCAGCAAGACCCACATTGGAGTCCGGCTTTGTCGTCGTCGATCCACAGTGTGATGAAAGCGGCGATAAGACTACAAGCTGTCCCGGCAAAGAAGCACGCAGACAAACCTTTGACGACATCAGGTCCAGCCAATTCTCCCTGATCTTCACCGACGTAGGTGTACAGCAAGCCCGACCCAAGAGTGCCAAAGAGTCGTCCCAAAGCATTGCTCATGTAGTAGAATCCAACACTGACTGCCACTTTATCAGCTTTGGCATAGTTGACCACCAAGAAGGAATGTATGGAAGAATTGATGGCAAAGATAATGGCGAAGCTGACTATTGCAACGACCAGCCAGGCTGTCATGGCTGGTTGGTTTCCATCCACAAATGCAGGAGACCACATGGCAACAATCCCCATGACAAGAGTTGGCAAAGCATTGATAGTACCCCAAAACACTTCCGTCAGTTTGTTGGGTGGGGTTTGTCCCAAGGGGCCTGTCACTAGTTGTGGGGTCCAACTCTGCACCTGTCCGTACAGGATAATGTAGCCACCCAACAACGCTCCCACAATGACACGATCGGCTCCCAGACCTCCACAGCCACCCCCCGGATTCACGTTTTCGCACAGCATGGATTCTACGCCGCAAATGGCATTGGTGACACAATCCGTGTCCGCTGCACAAGTGTCTTCTCCCAAACCATCACAGGAAGGGCTTCTCAAAAAGAAAGGAAGTGGGACTTCAAACCAGAAATCCCGACTTGCAAAGAGAAAGAGTCGCGCCAGACAGAGATAGTTGAGATTGGTATTGTCGAGTTTGAACACATCTTTCCAAGATGCATTCTTGGACTTGGCTGTTCCCAGATCCCTGTCGAGTCCAACAATGGCCCATGGCATGGCCAAAACCACCAGTCCCATCATGCAAGCCAATGCCAGTTCATAGGAAACAGCGATCAAGGCCGAGCCCAGAAAGTAGCCAACACCCTTGAGGCTGTTTTTCCATCCTGTGATCAGAGAGACCAACTTGAAAAGCTTGGTTTCCTTCTCTTCGGGAGTGACGAGCTTGGTAACAGTTTTGCCTCCCAGTTTGGTTAGATCCTTGGCTATACCTGCAAACATTTGTGCGATGGTGACGTAGATAATTGCTTGTTTTTTGGTCCAATCGTCCTTCCAACCAAACAGCAGGCCGTAGGAGAATATCTGGAGTGATAGTCCAATGATGAGCGTCAACTTGATCCCCCATTTCGCTCCCATAAAGCCAGCTGCCAAGTTGGTAAATACACCTGCCAACTCGTAGAGAGTGAACATGACGGCCACTTCCAACGCTGAGAAACTCTTATTGTAGGCATGCAAAAGGACAATCATTCGAATGGCACCATCTGTGATTGTGAACAGAAGATAACTGGAACTGATAATGACAAATGGTCGAAGGGCCTCACTCTTTGCTGCCTCCATGAACGTTTCTTTCTTTTCTTCTTTGGGTTTCTCATCTTCCACTCGCGGAGGCTGCACAATTTCGTCCTTTGGGAAGTCTTCTGCCGCCATCGTGCTGTTTGCTGTCTTGATTACTGGAAATGAATGAACTACCAGGAGCTTGCGAGAACGGATTGATTGTCGCCGTATCGCCGTAGTAAAAATATGTGAGAAGAATGTGATTCAATGCTACCCTTGAATTGAACTGGTGATACGGAAGGCACCGAACCTGGCTGGTCGTGGTGCGCGTTTGGTTAGACTATCGATTTGGATTGCTAATGAGTGAAGAGGATGGCTTCTTTCGAAGTCAGCTACGTTGCCGTCGTTCCGTCGTTGCCGTGTCAATGAAGTTGCGATTGCAAGCTTCTTCATCGTCGATTGTATTGGAAGTTTTCCTTGCAAACTTCCTGATTTCGTGAGGCAATGACAAGGAATGGCATGTCGGGGACTTGAAGCATTAGGACCTGTTTCACTTTATCTTTGTGGGGTGACTTCAGTGAATCTCGCAGATTCATTATTGAGATTCGACCTGTAATTTCGAATAGACTACATGTACTTCGTACTTACCGTACGGTACGGTACGGTATCATACGAATACGTGGTGGAAACTTCGAGAAGGCGCTACAGGACCCAGTCGGAGGATGGGGTGTACCGATACGTAGCCCCGCACATGGGGATCCCCATCTTCCTGAAAGCTGCTGTGGTTTGCTTACTTACTTGTACTGTAGTATTACAGAACCACATTGCTAGCTACAGCAGTAGGCTACCGTAGCCATCTACTAGCTAGTAGCTAGACTAGTAGAGGTGGCCTTCTCCATGCCCTTGTTTCTCCTCAGGCTAGGCCCTGAGCATGTTCTGGATAAAATTTCTACCAACAACTTTTTGGACGTGATTGCTTTTGTTAAATAAGAATGTACATGTAGGGCCCAATATCTCTCTGCGGACATCCATTATCTCAGGCCCATTTGAGAATCTCCAAATGACCATTGTTGGCAGCCCCAGAGCAGGTGTCTTCATTCCATGGGCAATTATTCTCACGTGCCCACTTCAGAATTTCAAAATGGCCTCCAGAAGCAGCATGAGCACATGTCTGTTCATTCCATGGGCATCCGTTCTCTCGAGCCCACTTCAGAATTCCAAAATGACCACCCCAAGCAGCATGGGAGCAAGTCTGTTCATCCCATGCACAACCATTTTCTCGTGCCCATTTGAGAATGTCAAAATTCCCTTCAAGAGCAGCGCTACTGCATGTCACTTCATCCCATGCACAACCATTCTCTCTAGCCCATTTGAGAATTGCAAGGTACCCACCAAGAGCAGCACCACTACATGTCCCTCCGTCCCATGCACAACCATTCTCTCTAGCCCATTTGAGAATTTCAAGGTACCCACCTGCAGATGCCTCAGAGCATGTCCTTTCATCCCAGGGGCAACCATTTTCTTTTGCCCATTGGAGAATCTGAAAGTGCCCCCCAGAAGCAGCATTGGAACATGTGCTTGCACTCCATGGGCAATCATTCTCGCGCGCCCACTTCAGAATTTCAAAATGGCCTCCAGAAGCAGCATGAGCACATGTCTGTTCATTCCATGGGCATCCATTCTCTCGTGCCCATTTGAGAATTCCCAAGTGCCCTCCAGAGGCAGCACTGGTGCATGTTGATTCGTCCCATTGGCAACCATTCTCTCGTGCCCATTTGAGAATTTCCAAATGTCCATTCTTGGCAGCCTCAGAACATGTCTCTTTATTCCATGGGCATCCATTCTCTCGGGCCCACTTGAGAATTTCCAGATGTCCATTCTTGGCGGCATGTGTGCACGTGTCTTCGTCCCATGGACACTTCTTCTCCCGGGCAAACTTGAGAATTTCAAGACACCCATGGTTGGCGGCCTCAGAGGTTGTGCTTTTGTCCATCATAAATCCTTTCTTGTAAGCCCATTGAAAGACTGAAAGATTTCCAAGCTTGGCAATGGTGGAGCAAACTCGATAACCATCAGGTTTCCGGATTTGCACGGGGAAGCTGCGCCAGTATGTTGCACAGGACAAGTTTAAACATGTAGTGCTAAAGACAGTGGTATACATGGGACTATTCACAGAAACACAGTACTCCTTGTAGAGTTGCTGTAACTTCTTGCTGACAGCCCCGACAAAGGCATACTGTCCAACACCCAGATATGGCAGAATGCCGTTGATCCAGACATCCTTTTTATCCATCAATAACAACCCTTCTGCAGGACGAGTCAGCATCTGCCTTTTCGCTTTCGGCTCATATGTATCCTTGATGGCAGACATGTCGTTGACGAGTGATAAAGGCGTGGTCGAGTGAACGCCATGGGTTTAATAGACCTCTAGCTAGCTATTGTGTTTCTTCGGCTCCTTGTGGATTGCAGCTGTGCTCTACTACCTGGTACCAGGTAGCTTTGGTGCGCGATATGAATGGCGAGCGTGTTCTTGGTGCCGTGTGTGCGGCGCTTCCGCGCTCTGCGTTCGTTGGATTTGGAAAAATTGAATATTATTGTGAAACTGACCATTCATGAGCGAAAAATCTGAACCCCGCCGATACGGTGGTACTGGTACCAGCAACAGGTATTAGTACCTGGTGGTACAGGTGTAAGAGATGCCATTTCGGCGGAAAAGTTACTGCTATAATACTTGGACTAATGACAGCACACTGCCCTGCAAACCCTTGCCATCCTCTCGTACGGTAGCCATCCAACTGGCCTTTTGGTGCAGACCTGATCGAACCACAGCTGAATCCTCCAAAAGAGAGCTACAGAGCCGGTTCTTGAATGATCACAGTCAACGTGGCCCCAAGCAATTCTAAAACATTCCCGCTCAAATTGCACGGTATAGTGAGTATCATTGTATGATCCAAGTTATACTTGGAATACCCAATCGTTGCCTTTAGGTAGGGAGATGCTCTTTGGTAGCCCGGGATCACCGTGACCGGTTCTACCAATCGAGGCGGTTGAGGGGCAATCTGATCCCCACCAATCAGCTCCAAGGTTAAATCCGAATGGTCCCCCTTCTCGCACTTCATAAGAGGGGCCGATGTTTTTGATGGACTGTTTTTGACGCCTTTGTAGTTGGGATTTGCCCTGGCGTTCTCGTCCAAGTCGAAGGTCACCGTCAGGTGATCACTTCGTTGCGTTGTATCTGTTCTCATGGACCTCAGTTTCTTCTCCCTGTCCTTCCAAACGAAAAAGAGAGAGGAAATCACGCGGCAAGATTCGTTTGAAGACAGCTTCAGAATAATACTTTCTGGCAAGTACTTGGCTGCTTGGAGAGGCTCAAGTGTCAATGATACCGTCCCCACAACCGGCTTTCCCGTTAAAAAGCATTCATTGTGATACTTGAGTGAGCCCACAATGGATATTTCACCCTTGTACGTGAGAAAGTCGCCGCCACAGGTGGCACATCGGGGAATCATGCCGTACAAGGCATCTTCTAGATCGTCTCCGATTGCATCCACTACTTGCTCGATATCCCCCTGCTCAGAGTCTTCCACAACAATTTTGGACCCCGCCTTTCGGCTCAGTTGTCGCGGTTTACACTTTTGCTCCGTGTCAATCTTGCACTGCCGGCACTGCAGGAACATTTCCTTTGTCTCTGGCAACTCCCGATGTTCTTCATCCGGATGATTCTTGAGTTTCGCGTTGCACTGAGAGCATCGAAAACAACCAGTGTGATAGGTATTGTTGCGGCACGACGTGCTTTCATCCGTGGGGAAGATTTTCTTGTGACACACACGGCAGGTGGGTTCGTTGGATGGGGCGGCCCGGAAACTGGTTCGCGAGGATCCATTTTGTGATGCCGAATTCGTGTCAGCACTCTGTGATCCGCTTCCGAACAGCCCGAAAAAGACGGTTGCTCCAGAGATTGCCTTTTGCGTGCATGTGGCGTCCAGTGGAAGGTCTTCATCCTCATCATCTTCCTGATCCTTCTTCTGCTTGGCTAGAGACGTCTCGGCCTTGGTGGAAGCCTCAAATTTGGCCACTGCATCGGCTACACTCCCTCTCTTTTTCTGTGTTGCGGCTCGATGAATCAACTCATCGTAGGCTTCTTCGTCATCTTGAGGAAGGTAACGAAGCCAACCACAGCGAATAATCTCACCGACCTTGGTCAAGGCCGCCATGCTGTATCGAGCCACAGAAGCACGCCACTTCCAAAGGGCACAAGGGATCAACAAGAGCAAGGAGGTAGTGGTTGCGTACTCTATAGTTGAGGTTTTCCAAGAGAATATTCCCATTGATGCACAGTTCTGTTGGGGGCGCTCGATCTCTCTACTGTTGGTACAATCCGCTGTTAGCACAGAACAGCCAACTTGCCTACAGGTGCTGGGATCGGGGCCATACTACGGGTAAACTGTGGCCCGAATGTTCTCAATGGCTGCTAAAAAGTTTCTTCCTCTTGCGTGGTACGCGGGTGAATGTTGAAGTCCCTTCTCGCACTTTGAGCTCATTCTCTTCACCGTTTGCAGTGACGGCTGACGAGGCTGTTTCAGGTTTCAGGGTTAAACAGTGAGCTGGCACAGAAAACCGGACCTTTAAATCTTCCATTCTTTTCTTTTCAAAAATGAGAAAACCTCGTTCCGCTCGTGATTGCGTCATCCAAGAAGCCCCAAAAGACCGCTACAACCCACCGGTACAGGTACGGTAAAGGTATCTGTGGGGAATCTTTATGGCATAGAACGAGAGTGTTGCTCGTAGCGATCCAACAATCCGAATGAGTCTAGAGAGACAGCGGTAACTTCTATAAGCAACAGCTTTTGCCTGAGTCGGTTTACTTCACGGTACCAAGCAACAGATCTCCGCGCAGATGCCCACTTTTTGAAAAGCTTGTGGACACCGAGTCCTGGGACCACGCGAGGAAGAGACTGAAGAAGATCAAGGAGGCGGAAAGGGTCGGGAAGCTATGCTATTAATGCTGTGTGATAATCTTCGTATACACCAAAATATGTCTTGGAATCACTTGACCTGCCACGGCCACAACAAGAAGGCATTGTGGCATTCTTGTACATGTATTTCGTTTGCATTGCTGCTGGCCTACCATGCTGTGACTGGAATTGGATACATGGTACTCATGAGGCGGTGGTTTGAATATACGGAGCTTCCTCTGCACAACACCCTTTCAAATAAATCAACCCCGTGAAGGAGACTCGCCTACAAATAAGTCAAGGTTGGTACTGCTTGTCTCCAACTCCTCGTCGGGGCTGGGCATACTCTTAAAACTACATTATAGGAAGACGGATGCACCTGCTACGTTGCAGAGCCAACATTTCTCATTCTTTGTCATATTGTTCCTTGCGATTGTTGTGTATTATCTTGCTTGCAGCGCAAATCATGCGACCTCAACGTTGGTTGTTTTGGTGCTTCCGTCCAACTTGCCATTTACTTCTTTCATTCCAGTTTCACCGTCGGCCATCCATTCCGTGACGTCTTCTATCGAATCGTACACTTCTTCGACCATTTCGTCCAATGGCAATATGCTGAATGGTTCCTCCAGGTAGACGGCGATTTCTTCGATACCGAAGAAAAGGAACGTCAAAACAGCTATACAGGGAATCATCAGGAAGTGATTCCACGATCTTTCAAAGACATCATAAAGCGCAAACGGCATCAACGACATCCATACAGTGAGAAACTTGAGCGTGTGGCGCGTGTACAGCAATGGGATGGGCGTGGTGTATATGCGCTCGCTTTCGGCGCATTGCAATGCAACGTCGTTGACTGTATTGATCAAAGTCCTTTTGTCCAATACTGGGATGCACGAAGAAGCGATATGTGAGAATGCTGTCATCATGAGGGCGTAGTGATGTAGATGACACTCAAGTCATCATGAGGGCGTAGTGATGTAGATGACACTCAAGTTTTTCGACTTACTGGAGATGTAGGGTGTCATTGGTTCAATTGCCTGGTGGATGTCGTACTGCGCCCGGAAGAGCTTTTTCTTGGATGAGAGCAAGTTTTGCGCACCACCAGAAGATTGAGGAGATGCAAAAGTGTTGTAGGAGCTCAGGATGTCATTCTCGTACTTTGCGACGGAATCAAACTTCCCTGACAACTCGTGTTGCAATGTCCGAATCAATGAAAAAGACGTACCACCCAAATCCTTGACCATGGTGATTTGGGCCTCTTTGGTCGGGACTTTGCCACTGTCTCCGCCTCCACTTCCAATGGCAGTGGACGCCATCAGCAGCATATTCTGAAAGTTGCTCATAATCTTTTCGATGTGATGGAAGCCCTCATTGTACCTTTGGAATGAGGCATCATTTCGAAAGACCAGCAACAGACCCAGCGGACCACCGCTTATCAAAAATGGATCAATCGGTAGTTCCAACTTGCAGTTCTTGAAGACGTCCCAAGGAAAAGCAGGATCTTCCATTGCCGCGATGGGCGATTCGTGATAGATGCCGTTGAAATCTGTGTATCCGTAGACGAACAAGGCGTTCCAAACAATGATTCCCACGGAAAGAGCCACCAACAAGCCCACTTCGTCCAACAGGCTTTGGAATATGGGATAGTTGGACAGACTTTGGAACAAGTTGCGAAAGAATCGATCACTGGCACGATGCTGCAGCCAATTGTCGTGATCGAATCGAGTGTACATGCTCCCGAGCCGATTCTGCTCGAGGCCTGAATCTAACAGGTCATCATAATCGTACTTGCAATTATCACCTTCATATGGGACGTTGCACTGATCTTTGTTCTCGCCAACAGAACGTAATGACGTTGATGATGACTTTTTTGTAGCTGCATCGGTCTTCCTGGTAGCAGCTGGTCTCGGCAGCACAGGATGAGAGGTGGCCCTGCTGGTGGCAGTGGCTTTGGAATGCAGGGGGAGATGCTGGAATGCTACCACAAAGGTGCTTCCATTGTTCCCATTTCCGAGAAACGAGGACAACAACAATGTCGACAAACACAGGCACAATGAGGTTGACGATGACCACTTCTTCATGATTCTGTGAATAGCCGTTCCGGAATCTGACAGCTTTCTCTGAAGTCGGACTTGCAATCACTTCCTTTCAATTCTCTATTTAGCTTTCTCAGCTTGCAAGCACTCTTCAGGCAGGGACGAGATGCAAGAACCTTTCCTGACCATCAGAGACCTCCCTTGCAGAAGAATATGCGTCTTCGGCGTCAATTCTTCGGCTTTTGGAGATCTGCAGCTATCCAAGCCACCGGTACAGCTGTATCTTGTACAGTACTCGGACTGACGGGTGAGCTCTCATTGGTGCCAATGACGTGGGTGGTGCTTCGATCTGGTTGCCATTAAACCCAGCAGAGCGGAATGATACTGGGTTTGTCACCTTGCATGCTCGTCTCTTCGAAGACGCCGCGCCATGGCTCAGATCGTTGCAACCCGTTGCGCGTGTCTAAACCAAAGCCATGCATCAGAGGGCGTGGGAGCGGGCTACAATGCCTCATCCTGAGCAACCAGCCTCTGGATCCAAGTTATCATTTCATTCATTCATATGTGCCCTCTCGATGTCATGCGAGATCGTTCTGGATGCCGTGGCACGGCTTTAGGCGAGAAAGCATTTATCCGTTGTTGCCGGTTACACCGCGAACGGTGACCAAAGCTCAACATGGCAGCTTTCTACCTCCTGTCGTACAAGAACTCCTGGTGTGCATAGGATCCAAACATTGGAGCTCACAAAACAAACACAAAGCAAACTAAAAGCACAACAACAAATCTAAACAACCATGAAGGTTTCTTCAACTATCGCAGTTGCATTTGCTATGATTTGGGTCACAGCATCCAGCCATGTATCTGCTTCGGAGACAGCTTCTCTGAAGAAGGGACTGCGTGGAGTGCAACAGCCTCAGCCTCCTTCTGTTGCACGGCGAGCAAAGAAATCAAACAGCAACTGTGCCTATGATCCTGTTACAAACCCTATCCATGGTCCTTGCCCACCCAATTCAGCCGCAGTCTTTAGCTTCCGTGCCTGCAATTGGGAATGCAAGTCCGTTCCAGCAACTAGCTCTCCAGCAGTGGTGCTGCCCGAAACCGGAACTGGAGGCAGCATCAATGACATCCAAGAACGCAGCAGTACCGACGATCAAGGGAATGGCAAAGAATAATATGGCAGTGGAACTAGATCAGTTGCAGTTACTGTCACGTACAATCAAGATGCAAAGGATGTGGCCTGGTCCTTGACTAACAAGAGGACAGGATTTCAGGTTCTCTGGTCTGACTATGGTGAAGTGACAGAGGCAGGCGCTGTCACGGAGCTAGCTGTAGGAGTGGCACCGGGACCCTACCAGCTTGCAGTGCACAACATTCTTGGAAGGGGCACTGGTGGGGTGGCGGTGATCGACATGACCGAGTACGAGCTTGATGAAGCAACCCGAGAGGTCGTTCATGGTGGAAACATACTCTTTGAACACAGTGGTCGATTTGGCGCCATGCTGTTGGAGGACATTGATATCTTCTAGTCTTGCTCCCTTGCACCTGTGGCCAATGAAGGCAAGAACACAACATTGCGTGATAGTAGAAAAATAGAGTAAACAAGCATAGATGATGGACATTCTTAATTGATCAAGCATGTCGCTCCGGACCCTGGGGTTTGGCAGCTTCAATCCAACCATTAGTGCTGAGAACAAGAACACTCTTTGGCAATCACCGCATCCAAGGCAAGTGGGAAGCACGACGAGGACGTTGATAGAGGACGATGAAGCCCTGACCTAGGAAGTTTCTTTGCATGCGGGCAGCCCGGAACCTGGAGCTTCTTACTGCCTGGAGCCCAGTACCAGCACTATAACTAGAGCCTCGACTCGGCAACCATCTGGTGTGCACTCTCACTTCAGCTGCATTTGATTGATAGTGCGCTGTTGTGATTCGTGTTCTTTCTTGTAGCTCGCGTTAGCTTGTCCGGTAACAACGCGGCAAGGCTTACAACAAACATATATATGCAGCACCCCACACTAGATTAGGCATCACTTCATTTTTCTTGCAGCTGGATCCGACCACCTAAACCTAAACTACAGCCAGGAGCACAATACCGGTACCAGCAGCGCCTCAACCCAGCTATCATCGATCGAAGGCGAATGCAAAGATGTTACCCGGCAAAAGCCGGGTTGTTGGGAGAAAGGTTGTAAAGCAATGGGTGACGTTCCATGGAGGTGCAGAGAAAGTGTTTGCAGTAACCGAAACCCCTCGTAACTTTACCAGATCCTACTGTCCTACATGTACCTTGCTGAATAGGTCTTCGGAGCAATCAAGTTGCATCAGCTAGCCAGCGTTAAAAGGAAGGAAACCTTTCCCTTTAGCCCGCAACGAATCATCACGAAAACTGACACCACGAACAACGCGGGACGTCTGGATTGGTTCAGTACCATCTCATGTGATAGAGACCAGCTATTTCATGCAAGAAAACTTGCAACTACATGTACCGAATGTGTATTGGATGGACTAATTTACAACTGAAGCTCGCAAGCCAGGGGAGGGGGTAACAGAACACAAACAATGGTAAGACGCCGACCTAGTAAGTTGTGGTGCGTAGCAGGGCAGTAGCGGCATCCGAGAAGGAACTGGCCCTCGTGGGTGTGGCCCTCGTGGGTGTTCCTCCCGGTGCACTGGCAGTCAACCGTGGCGACGTTCCAGAGCTGGAACGGCCAAGAGTTCCGCGCATGCCACCACCAGCACCACGAGCCTTTGGTCTCAGAATCCTTCCCAACACGGTTCCCGCAGCCGTAGTCGGATCTGGTGACCCCCCCGCATCTGCCTTTTCCTTGGCGGACAAGACTCGGTTGACCGGTTTTCGGAGACTCTGTCGTTCCACCCGCGCCACGGGTGTCAATCCTCCCGATCGACTCCTTCCTGGCAACTGCCGCAGGGCTTCGGCTACTTCAGGATGCGATTTCGCCAGTCGGTCCTTTTTGTACTTGAGGTAGAGAGGAAGTTTTTGTTTTAATACCTCATTGGTCACGGCACCCTTTTTCCGCAGCGATTGTTTGAGAACTTCAAATTGTCGTGAATCTCCCGCCAACAGTTCCAAGTCAGCATCCGAATATTCCAAAGATTCCACGGCTCGCTTCATTTCAAAACTCATGTTGCGCTTGACGTTTCGTCGTGGCTCGTAGACTTCATCCCCCCCGAACCCTGTCAGGCCTCCAGAAAACAGATCTGTCACCGACATGGGAGACCGGGCGTCATACGATGCGACTCGTTGTGGCAGAGGTGGCATGGTGGTAGTGTAGTTGTTGATTATCGGGTTTTAAAATAAAAGAATGGAATCGCTTGGGTAGGGCTGGATAATGGTTGAGAGGAATGCAAACAAGGGTATCCAAATTGAAACATTATTTGTGACAAGATAGAAGCACCAAAAGACAGATGCGAAGTTAATCGTTGTTTTGTTGCTGTGTGAAGTTGTGAACTTGCCTTGGCTGGGACGCTGGCAACTTCCGCTACACAAGCCTGCACAATGCATGCACTGCCTGTTAATTGAGTTTGGACCACCGTTCTTGCCTGACCCGGCAGTGTACTACTATGTACTATGGGGATCGTGTACTGAAAGGCCCACGTTGCACCCATTATTGCATCTCATTCACAAGTCACAAGAAGGTTTCACAATAACCGGTCTATAAGTCATTGAATGAAGAAAGACACATCTCGCATGTACCGGTAGCCTAGGAATTAAAGGGAACGATTGCTCTGTTCTCAGCGGACCACAGTGAGATTAATTTCGTCTCCTGGAGACGATTTGCTTTAGGGGTAATGGTACCGATGGGGGCAGAGGTTTGAATTATACCCGGCGCGCATTACTTAGAAGGCCCTGTAGAAGTCTACGTATTCGACTAGTATTGTATTGACGGGATACAGTCAACGCATGTACATGCACATGAAAGTCGCCTTGCGTTCTTCACATTTTAAAAGTTGGCTCCTAATTTTTCGGGGTCGCCTGTGATTTGATTGGACGCTTGATCTTTTTTCAATGACTGACATTGAATGACGTACGAGGTGCAATGCGAATCTCAGAAAGGTAGTTGTAGTAATAGAAGTTTTTATATATAGATTAATTTACCCTATATCCCTACCGTTTATACTTATAACAAGAACCCGTCTTCTTGCTGGAACATTTCATCGTATTGATCTTCTCCTAGGACAGAAAGCCCAATAGTATCCTTAAATCTTGCAAGCATGTCTCTCATTCGTTGTGGCATGGCAAGTTCTTTGGATCCCAATCCAGCTTCTTCAATAAGAAAAACCACTCATGGTTCGCACCCTTGATAACACCACTAAGCCCAGTTTTGACAGAATCGCCATGAATGTACCAATAACCACACTCAGTATATCCCTTGTAATTTGTGTCCAGTTGTGGCAGAATTGCTGATAATCGGGAACTGCTTACCTTCATCTTGGTGTGTACAACTTCTCCGTCATAAAACCATCTGGTAGTGAAAGTGTAGTCTTGCTCCGTTACATAAAAAGTACGTGGCATAATAGTCTCCATTTCATGTTCCACAAGGATAGATTTGACTTGACCCGAGAAAAAAGCCCGAATCTTGCAGCCGTTGTCGAGTTGAATAACCATGGGGGTGCAACCATGCCTCACATTCACCTTTCTCACAAAAAGCCGAGATCCATTGGCTTCTCCATTCGGAACATTCGGGTTCTCTGTAAACATTACAGGACATCCCTTATATAACTTCAAAGCAGGATTAACACGTTTTCGTGAGTCCGAACCGGGTTTTAACGAGTCTTCTCCACATGTTGAAAAGAAGTGCTTTTTAAAAAACCGAATTGCTCTTAACAGGAACCAGTGTCCCTGCTTGATTGGCCATTTGAAGATCGTCCATGAAAATGAGTACTGCATCCATCAGCACGGAATCATCAGCAGGTTTGTTCTTCCCGCAAAATTCTTCGAAGATAGCTGAGTTAATGGCATCTCGATCTCGATTCAGATAAGTAGCAACTTGAATGTTCTCTGGTGGAACATGGGTTGGGCCAACCATGCAGGCGTCATTGATGGTCTCAATATCTTCTTCTGTTGGTCGCCCTTCACGGAATCTTAAACAGCGTTGCCCCCATTCAGGATCGTCTTTGAAGCGGTGCATTCCATCTAACTCAATAAATGAATTCAGAGAGTCATGAAATTCAGGAATGGTGTGCTGAAGATTGTAAATTGGGGGGCGTCCCACTGGTTCAAGTTGAGAGTAGTCCCCCGCGAACACCAAGTTAAGTCCCCCAAATGGTTGGTATTCGTCTTGCATCAAGGTCTTGGTGTAGTGGAATATCTTCACTAAGTCAAGTTCCCCCGCGAATGAAATTTCGTCGATGATAAGCATCCGTGCGTCACTCCATTCTTCTACCAAGTTCTTCGCCACACTTTCCCGAGTTCTGTTCAATCCCACAGCTGAATGCGTTGTTTCCCCATGTAGTATTGTAGCAGCAACCCCGACATAGCAGTGACAACAATGGTTCGGTCGTTAAATGGATGATCAATCAAACTGCAGAATTCTTTGCCATAGGCCATGACTAAGTCAATTACGGTAGTCTTCCCACTTCCTCCAGGCCCATGTAGAAGAAGAATCAGTTGGGTGCCACGACTTCCCTTCAAAATCAAAAGGTTTTTACGAGAAAGTCGGACTTTTGCCTTCAACCCCATATCCGGGACTCCATCCTCTAAGTCCGCCTTTTCAGCTTCCTCATAAAATGTCAACAAGAAGGCTGCAATGATACACTCGAAAGCCCTTCTCTGCTTGTCGTCCAGATTGGCAGCCGTTGCCCAGTCACTTATACTTCTCACGCTTCCATTCGCCTGCGACACTTCAACCTGCGGATTGTACTTAAATACATTTGCCCTTTGGATGCACTCCCGTTTGTTAAGTAGAACTTCAATGATCTTGTGATATCGAGGTGTAGGCGGTTCCACTGTGCTTCTCTTTGTAGTGCCAGTCGTGTGAAAGTCAACACTTATGGTAACAAATTCGTCTTCGTCTAACGAATTCTCAGGAATGGGTAACTGCACGTTATATCCTGCGTTGTCGCTTCCATTGTGACGTATAGCCGTAAAACTAAGACCATCAAATGTGCTTGCCAGAAAGTCCCGGTTTGAATCTGTTGTGCCCTGGCTCTCAAGATCACGTATCCAATCCTCGTAAACCTTTTGAATCAGATCATCTTCCTCATGTTCGTGCTCATCATCAGATTCGTTTTCGTACATGTTCTCCTCCCAATTTTCCGGTCTATAGGGCTTAGTGACTCGTTGAAGATCATCCTCTTTCACCTTATACCTCGGGTTGTTGAAAGCGGTGTCTTGAATGTTCTGGATGAATGACAGGTTCCTTTCTGAGAAGACGACGAGTTCTTCGTTATTCGCTTTTCTCAGAACATCGTATTCATACACTTCACGAAGTCTTTCAGCGAAAGCAAAGTTGGTCTGGGGTACGGACTTCTTTAAATCAGCCAAACATCGATGCGGCAAGTACAAAGCCAACAGCACTTCCGCATAAGTATCCATTGCCTGGTTCAGTTTGCCAGTAGGACACGTCAGGATATTCGCACCAAAACCGCCTGCATCTGAGAAGGCCCATTGTGGAACCCGAACCAATGCTTCTTCTTTCCTCAAAATTACTCCCGCTGAAGTTTCACCAGTTAACACCCCGTCGTTTTCTTTGATCGCTGATGGATGCACGAAATGCCCAGTGTCAGCCATAAAAGGCCATTTCTCCTCATCAGTTCGCTGACGCTTCCGCCTGTGGACACTCTTCATTGGTCGTTCCTCGTAAAGCTCGTAAAACCGCTTCACTGACACATTCTCTAGATCTTTGTTTCGACACAGATAGTGGAGCGCCTGGTTCTCAAGATAAGCCTGACCTGTTGGTAATATCGTAGTTCTGATGACACTTCTTGTTTGTTCAACAGCAACATTACATCTTTGATCGGACAGTAGAGAAAGCGATGTGAAAAGTAGAACCTTGATTTGTTCCGCGTAATGAATGAGGCCAATGATGGACCAATGATATTTGACTTGTTATGGGCAAAAGCTGCACGGCAGATCCGACGAAGAGCCTCCTTGTCATCGTCTTCATACACTCTTCCGTTTAGGGACTTAATAGCACGCTCAACAGTAGCATACTCGGCCGTGTCGTCTTGCTGCGTAGACTTGTGTTGGTACTTCATCTGATACATGGACAAGGGTCCAACCGTAATAAGGGATACGTTGCTGTTGCATGCAAACTTGGACTCTGAAATAGCCTTGCACGACTGATTCTGGAACAGATCATACGCATTCCTTTTCGGTTGGAATTCCACTATAGGCTGTTTCCGGGAACCTCCGGTCCAATCAAACCACTTGGTTTCTGTATTCACTGCAACCACCCTTGATTCCGACCGAGGCCTGTCAGGAAGCCTGTATCGACATTCGCACTTTGGGGCTGGTCCACATGTATGCGCTCGACCCAGCTTGTTGCACTTGAAGCATCCTTTGACATGACAAGAAGTATGATGTTGATAGAGAGCATTAATAATCACTGTAGGTGTTTCAGATACTGTTGCCCCGATACTCTTCTGGAAATCCACAACACGAGCCTGCATTCTGGGTTTTGGCACTATGTTCCCCTCATCACCGGTGGTTCCTGATCCATTCATTCCTTCACACTGTCGTAAATACCCAGTCAACAGATCCTCATAAGTAAATTCGAATCCGCAGTGATCACAGTATGCAAACTTTCCCGATACAGCGTTGTACCCCTTCTTATGTCTTAGGTACCGGAGTACCTGATCCGACACAACCACAGGGGGATCCCGAAAACTCTTGGACACTTTACAAGCATGATCAGAAAGATCCAGGAGAGTTCTGGTATCTGTGGGGAACATCTCTGTGGTAGCCATCCGTTCGTGGTATCTTGAAAGGCACTTGTCGGACATCTCTTTCCGTTGCGATCTCGCTGCGCACAAAACACCTTCTTGCAGCTTAAAGAAATTCTTGATCCAAACTGTAAGATGGGTGTGCACTGACTTTCGGCCTTGTTCTTCAAATGCTGCTGCCATCGCCAACACTTCCCCAAAAAGTCCCGGCTCTTCTGTAGCACAGTTGTTATGGCGGTCCCATCCTATAACTTCTTCACATAGAATGTCGAACAACATATCGAAATGGAGTGCTCCTAGTGCTGGAAAATCTAACCGAAGCTGTCTCCGTTCTTTGCTTCGTTCTTGAAGAATCTCCTCGCTTGCATCTTCCCAATCACCGTCAGGCCCTTCCACTTCTTTCCCGCTTAGTACTTCCATTAGCACACTGTTTTCGTCATCAAAGCTCACTGTCAAGAATACAGTACCCGTGCCAAAGTAGTGGTTCATTGATTCAGCGGTACCTCTAGCCAACTTGGCTGCTTCATTTGTGTGGGGCAGTGCTTTGCTGATAGCATTTACGGCATTCAGTATGCACTTGCTTGAAGTAGACCCGGCTTGATAATTCCCTGCTCTTCGACTTGATATAGCCCTAGACACGTCATCTCCATCTAGACCTTCCGCAATTGCCTTTGCAGAAAACTTCCCCTTCAACTGAAGTCGGGCTCTCTTGAAAAGTCGGATTTTTGTCCCAATACTATACACAACCAACTGGAACATAGGTGAATGAAATTCCGGTTGGGACAGCTGACAAAAGTGCGCCAGGAAGTCTTCTGTGTTCGTCCAGTTCCTCCAACATCCGTCCTCCATGAGTCTGAAATCCTTCATACTTCCGACGCCATATGGGAAGTTCAGCAAACACGACTGAATCAAGGCATCAGAATCCGTCCCTTGTAAAAAAGCCTTTGTAGGATCATGCTGGAGCTGTAAATCGAACCCCTTCTCTTGCATCTCCTGGACAAATGTCTTGAACTCGCTCATGTTATCGAATCCACCATTGGTCTCAGTAGCTAGACCATCGGGAAAGTAGCAGCTGAAAAGTTCGTGTTGCTCCACATTCGAATTCTCAGATTCGACTTCTTTACTGCGATCCACTATCACAGGTGTCACACCCTCTAACTCTCTGCGGTACGCATCAAGATCAACGTGGTTCCAGCTCCGGTTATTCTGTACCAGCCATTCCACAGCCGCCATGATCTTGTCGGTACGAATACTCCGAGTTGCCTTCTTTTTCTGGTCTGGCGTCATCTTCCCTGATAGCAGTATCACGACATTCTTGTTCAGGCCCATTGCTTCTAGATGTGCCGTTGCACGACCAATCACATTGTAGTCTACCCGCATAAAGGTCATGATCCCCTTCAAAGTTTTCATCCTTCCGCCAACATAGGAAAAACAGTACCCGTAAGATTTCACTGGCGTAATAAAGGCTATCTCGACTTCTGTTAATTCCTTGAGAATATCAGGTGCACATCCAACAAAGTTGCTGTTGACAATAGCATATAGTGGCGTTTCAGGCTTCTCCTTCTTCAGTTTCCCGTGACATCCTTTGCAACAGGATATGCCCCATTTCCGACCGTTGCGCCTTTTCCCGTAAACTCCACGTGGTGACAGCGCCAGTTCACCAAGCCATCTTCGACATCCCTTCAGAACCCTCGCAGGTGGATCCCTAAAGCGGTAACAGTCTTCAACAGCTTCACAACGGTACTCCGGATGATCTTGGAAGACTTTGTCCCAACGTAGATGTTCTTGAACCTTCTTTAACTGATCGAAGAACAACCATTCCACATTGTTTTCATGCATGATGGTTTCATCGCATACCGAGCAGACATAGGGCGTAAACGTCTTGGTCCATGGATCCATCATCATCAGATTGTCATACCGACGGTTGATGTTAGCCTGAACGCACTCCACGGTCTTGACATTGCCGATAATTTCAAAAGGCTCAAAGTTGGACGAAGATTCAAACATGGAAGCTGCCGCCAAGAAGAAAAGAAAGCCCCACGAAGCACTGCATGTAGAGGAACACATCCTGCCATTAGGATTTTGTGAGAACGAAGCCTATCTTCCACAGTTCTTCGAACAGACAGTTTCGCTGTATGCATCGTGGTAATCGAAGCAAAATTGTACTCTATTATCGATACTCCGATCCAATTTTCACGATAGAACAGCTGACTTCACTGGATAGGCAATCACGCTATCTACACCCAACCACACAGTGAAAACAGCGTGACAAATCTTTATTCATTTCAGCGAAGCCAGTCGCACCACGTTTCCTAATCTGTCATGTTGATCGTTAAGTAAATCCCACGTCTTTCATTTACATCCGCGCCCCGCTCCCATCTCGCTGTGATTTTCACTTAGATGACATTTCCCCCGAAAATCCAAAATCGTGAGGGCCCGCTCTAGTCATCTGGTGGGTAGGATAAAATATCATTGTATGCACCGTTTCAAATACCCTAAATCCCTGCCGGCAGCAATTGGCGGATTTCAGACAACTCCGCTCTAGTCATCTGGTGGGTAGGATAAAATATCATTGTATGCACTGTTTCAAATACCCTAAATCCCTGCCGGCAGCAATTGGGGGATTTCACACAACTCCAATCACACGTGTGTTCTTCATGTGTCTACGGTACTGTCACCTAAATAATTCAAATCGAATCTTTCCACGAAAACTTGCGATTTTTAGCGAAGGTATCGAGCACGACTTCCGCTGGCAACGCCCCTTCCCCCTCCGATACAAGTATACTGTTTCACTATAGCATTACAAGCCAGGCTACACTATCTACGCTCAATCGTATCAGCGAATACACTCAGGCGAAGATATCCCCGCTTTCTATATATACTTTCTTTGCATTGAAAATGTATATATACAACCATTCCTATCGCATCGATCATCTTGAAACAGTCACAAAATCAGTTCAGCAAAACCTGAAACATCCCCTCATCCTACCTAGCAGCCAACCCATCAGCCATCTCTCCCGCCCACGTAGGTACCTTCTGTTTTACCTTCTTCTTCTGTTTGACAATGTTTTGCCTTTCAAGATGGCCACTCACCTTCCTCTTTCGGACTTCAAGTTTTCAGAACTCCTTCACCATGTCTTCCCAAACACCCGACATCAACACACGTCGTCGCAATCGTACCCCTACTTCCGCGGGTATCAACAGCAAGAAGAAAAAGGGCGGCGGCAACAAAGCAAGAGGTCCTTTCAATTCCTGTGAGTTCCACGCTGTAATTCCCAGCAACCTCAAGGAAGACGAAGAATCCCCCTTCCCCGGAATGTTCCTCAAGTTCACAGGCTTTGTTGAGAAGAAGGCTACCGGGGCTATGTACAACCGACGCAAAGACCACCCCGTCAACGGTGTTAAACCCAAAGACATGATGGCCTTTGTTCAAGCCCTCTCTGACAAGCACATGATCGAGTGGGTATTCAAATTGGTGGACCCCGCTTCTGCTGATGGGGAAAAGCTCCTTATGTACGAGGCCACCAACGGTACTGCTTATGACCAAAGAGGCTTTGTTATCATGTGCCCCAGAGGTGAAGTTGACGAAAAAACTGGTGAACGTTTCTTGCCCCAGCTCCCAACCCCAGAAATGGCCTTGAAGTGGTTCAATGAAACCTTTAAACCGGCCTACATGCAATACGTGTACGACCCGGCAAAGAAGGATGAACCCTACCTAGTTCTCGACGAACAGGACAAGTGGTACAAGGTCCATGACACCTGGAGTGAGCTGATCACCCACTCCGACATCATGACTCACCTTGTGACGGATTCTTGGATCGATCAAGGCGAATACCGCAGTGTATCCGAATTCCTCAAGGACGACAAGGGCCATGTGTACTCTATTTGGCCTCGTGGTCAACTCCCGGCTTCACGTCTTACGTCCGTTGATTTCACCGAAACAACCTTGGATGCATCGGACTTCGGTCGCATGCGGGCCATCACTGGTGCCCGTCGCAACATTATTACAAGCCACTACGCACGCACACCATCCCCCGCCCCCACCTCTACTCCACCAGTTCGCCTTCAAGCTACCACACTGGCCCTTCCCCATGGTTTTGAACTACCCCCCGGCATGAACTTTGAGGCCTTCTTGGGAACTCTTCTGGAAAAGCACCAGCAGGAGAACGGTGGTAAGTCTCCTACAGTAGCTTACCGTATAAATCCCCCGTGCCCTCACTTTCAAATCCTCAATACTGGACCTCCCAATATTATTCGCAAACCATTCCCAGTTCCAATGCAACCAAATACGTCATCTCCCGTCCCACCTGTTCCACGAACCACGTCGACCAAAGTGTCACCTGCGAATAGTCAGAATGATGACACTCCACAAGGTATGAAGAAAGCTGCCGAACTTCCTAACGATCCTATTAGCGAATACCCCAGTTCCGACGAAGAGCGGGAAGCAGAGGAAAAAGAAGACACCAAGCTCCCAGCGGAAGCGAGCCAACCCTCCACTTAACACACGTTGACTTCAAAATTGCAAAACCTAAACCCTAAATATAAGCCACATGATTCATTCGATTCTATTCACCATTAAACTAGTACTGGAAACGGAGACGACCCAGGGGGCATATGAATGAATTGCAATTGAGGGGGTACGTGGTGTAAGTCCCGAGAAAAAGTGACTTGAATATCCATGTTTCGCCCCTTGGTCGAACCGTGCACTTTGACTTCAATTGGCCAGTTTTTTAAAAGACATGGTCCGACATACCGGCACACCAGCCCACGCCCTGTCCACACCCAGTCTAACTTCAGGAGCCGCACTTGGTCCTGACTCCAGGACCAACATCAGGGCCCACCACTTTTCCTCGATCCATAAATAATGCAGCGCTGACCCGACACCTTGCAACAGTCCCTGGTACGTAGCAGAATCGAGACGAAATCGTGACCTACCAGTTCCCGGCTGTGGTTTGTGCTGTAGTGACTTCATGTACCGGTACAGTAGCTCTTCATGCGCACCGTGCCATGTGCACCGTGTGATAATCTCAAATACTGTCCTTTGGATGCATGCACCAGTGTACTTAAAGAGCACAAACATTCAAAAGTTGGGAGAATACTACATTTTTTACTATCGGTCGAATTCAGCAGGCGGCGCCGAAGCCTTTGGGGGCATCAAAGGGTCTGCTCGAAGAATATCGCCATCAATCCCTGCATCCTCTGGGGAGGGTGCGGGGACAGGAGGGACACTTTCGTATCCAAGAAAGCGCTTTGGGTTCTCATGGTGGAGCTTTTGAAATGTGCCTTTAAAGGAATCTGCTCGCCAACAAAACAATACCAAATCCAGTACAGCAACTGCTGTCGACACGAGCATACCCGAAAAACCAAGTACGTCGAGCAGAGCAAGGCCTACCAATACAAGAACACCACCGCCGATCCGAAGAGCAGTCGCATCGCCAGTGAGTTCATCTTTGGCTGATTCAAACATTGCAAGTGCCTCCATCTCTCCCTGTTCTAGAAGCAGAATGTCACCGATGTATTTTTGGAAACTACTCCCTGTCTGCTGCGCAACCAATGAAACATTTTGTTCAGGGATAAGCTTGAAGGTCACTCGATGGTCTCCCACGCTTGGCGAGGTGTAGTTGCCAATGTACACGGCCCTGTTGGAGCCATTACCAACGTTTCTTGCCAAACGCTGCAGGTCTTCGTCTGGAATATTGCACAACTCGGGGTGAAATTGTTCGCCCCAAGACCAAGGAATCAAGTCGACTATCTCCTTGGGGAGTTCAAAGGCGCCCAGCTTGATTGGATCGGCTGTAAAAGTCCGATCTTCAAAGCGCATCCAATGAGGATTGTTGTACCCTTGTTGGTGGAACTTTGAGGAATCAACAACCTTTGATCTCCATTCCTTTGAGTAGGAATATTTCTTGCTCTCGCCCTCTTTTCCTTCTCTCTCGCTTTCCACCCACTGCAACATCTCGACGCTTCTCTCTAACTTCAACCCTCTGACTCGTATTCCGAACAAATTATCGTATACCATGGATTCCGACAACAGTTTCCCTTTCACATGGACAAGCTCCCGATCCATATCGGGATTGACGATATCAGGTCGTATGGATATAACCTTGCTGATCCCCTCACGGAGGGAAGACTGCACTTCATACCAATTGCATTCACTCCAAACCCAAAGTACCATGCCAACGAGCAGACAAATGAGGCCCAAAAGTAAAAGTGCTCCTTCGTCGCTTTCTCCCGAGGACACATCGACTTGCTCTTGGGATGCCATTGTACTCGTACTAGTAGTTGTTATCTGGGTCTGTTGCTTTTAAAAATTGATGTCGGTACCGGTAACGCGACACAAAGTTGATCAAATTGCTTGTTGGCGTTTCTTCAAAGCACGCGAAACCACGAAGCATTCTCGAGTATCCACGACTGTCACTCGACTCAAACGAGGAAGTCTCGAAAAAGAAGCAGCCTCAGCTGCTAAATGCTTAGATTTTCGGGGCAGGAGACATTCTGAAAGCCCTCAGCACTCAAACATCAACCCAACAGTGGGTGTAGCATCTACCGTACCGGTACAGGTATGTCTATGGTGGTGTCAATCATTCGCAGCGAGGTAGACTCATCATAAATAAAACTGGATTTGACAAGTTTGACAGGCAATCTCTACAGTAAAAGTTAACCACAATGAGATTTCGAAGAGCTCTTCTGGGTAAACGGGCAAAGATAAATGTCTGATATCTCCTTCTTTGATCTCTCAGCACAAAACGAAAACCGAGACCACAACTGAAGCCAGCCATGGCCAGATAAGACCATTCATGGTGGCCACACTGACGGGGGTTTGGGCCTCAATCTCCATCTCAAAGGAAAAGGCAACTGCCTGTGTTCCTTCTTCGTTGGATTCCAGGCCGCGGGAAGAAACAGGAACTTGCAGGAGGCGCTGCTCACTATCGCCATTGACCATGATGATGCACATCCCTGACACTTCAATCGTTGATGGATCCTCGTCGTCAAATAAAGCACTAATGAGACTTGTCTGGACAACAGCTTTCTGTGCATTGTCCTCTGATTGAAGCTTCTTTGTGGTGAGCTCAGTGATGGTTCCATTGATGATGGCGTCAAGCCTCATGTTGCTCGATGCGGAAAAGAAGAACAGTTGGCTAATCTCAACGATCGAAACCCCAGTCTCATTGGTTGTAACACAGACATTGAAACTGGAGAACAAGCGATCCACAGCATCGGTTGTGCAGTTGAATGAATCGTCGCAGTGACAGGATGTGATAGTGTAGTCCATGATCGCGTCTTCTGCCTCGTCCACCTCCTCTACCTGACCTTCCACATTGATTTCTGCGCTGGGAAACACAGTGGGAAACACAGTAGAGATGTTGAGACCAACTGAGGTCTCCTTCGTAGTGCTGCCCGTTGGCCTGGAAGATGGCTCGACTGAAGGACTTTGGCTCGCCACAACAAGCGCTGACGGCTGTGGTGTGCTCGGAAAAAGACTGGGAACTGAGCTGGGAGGGAGACTAGGTGAGCTGCTTGGTCCAGCTGAGGGGCCTGCCGAAGGTTGGACTCTTGGGTTGCCAATTGAGGGGGTGCCCATTTCAAGCTGGGTGTGTAGAACATTTGACGGAGTCGATGACGGTAGGACGCTTCCGGTACCGGTGGTATCAAGTGCGCTCAACGAAGGTTGGTCGCTTGGAGCGTTCGTAGGGTTTGGCGAAGGCTGTTGACTTGGGCTACGACTGGGTGGCTCACTTGGAATACTGCTCGGTGAAATGCTTGGATCATCCGAGGGACTGGATGAAACTTGAGAGCTTGGCAAGGTTGGGGGATTTCCAGTACCGGTAGGCTCTCCCGTGGGAAGCAAGCTTGGTGGGCTAGGATCATTGGATGGGCTCAATGAAGGCTGTTTGCTCGGTGAAATGCTTGGATCATCCGAGGGACTGGATGAAGGTTCAAAGCTTGGCAAGGTTGAGGGATTTCCAGTAGGCTCTTCTGTGGGAAGCAAGCTTGGCGGGCTGGTATCGGTAGGATCATTGGATGGGCTCCACGAAGGCTGTTTGCTCGGTGAAATGCTTGGATCATCCGAGGGACTGGATGAAGGTTCAAAGCTTGGCAAGGTTGAGGGATTTCCAGTAGGCTCTTCTGTGGGAAGCAAGTTTGGCGGGCTGGTACCGGTAGGATCATTGGATGGGCTCCACGAAGGCTGTTTGCTTGTAGTGCTCGTCGGGAAGCTCGAGATCCTTGCACTACCTGTTGGGTTGCTTGTCAGGAAACCATCACTGGGATGATTTGAAGGAGTCCGTGTTGAGAGGTCAATTGAAGGACTTCCACTTGGCGTTAGTGTCTGTATGGGATCAAGGATCAGGACAGTACTCGGACTCAGTAATTCAAGCATCTGGTCGTCGCTTCGGCTTGGTGCAGCGGTTGGGTCGCCTGTATGCGAAACATAGGTAGGAGTAGTGCTCGGCAGAGACGACGGGCTCTCGGTTGTTGGGTGAAGATCAACCACGACAACCTCCCCAATAGAAACTCCTGCTGCGCTTCTTGTCCATGTGGCTCCGGCGCTTAGACGAGCACCATTGAGGGCCAGGCTGACACTGCTTCTCCCAAAGCCCATGCGATCCCCATTTGCTTTGCCCTCCAAAGATGCCAACTCCGCCCATTTTCCTGAAAGGCGCTCAAATACAGCCACTCGACCCTTGGCGCCATTGTGAAGCCAAGAGGAGCCCGCAAGGCGCTGACCGTCGGCTGCAAGCGAGACCGACCTTCCAAATCGATCCGAGGGGGCTTGGCCACAAATGACTGGTCCGTCTTCGACCCATTCCGTTCCATCAAAGTCCAGCACTTGCAGACATCCAGCCAAGGGTTTATTGCCTGGCGAGCTACCAGGAGCGGAAACGACGACAACTGAACCATCGGCATTCAAATCGACGGAGAATCCAAGCTGGTCAAAGGCAACTTTCCCTGAGACAGTGTTTCCAAGTTGGCTCCACTTGCTTTGGCCGAGGTACTCGAAAACTTGCAGAATGCCCTTGTTGGGCATTCCAGTTCCGTCGTGATTGGGGGACGTCACGGCAAGCCGGGTTGCATCCTGTGACCAACTCAAAGCGAAACCAAACAAGTCGCCAACAGCAAGCCCATTCAACTGGCCAATCGGTTGCCATTCGTTCACGCCTTCATCAAATTCAAAAATTTCAACGCGGCCAGATCGTGTTCTGCAAGTGATTGCTAGTCGACTACCGCTTGCGGACAATGCCATGACTTCCCCGGGAATGTCACCCGCGCAAGAAACATCGGAACCGACTTGAATTCCCGAAGGAACATCGACGACTTGAACGGGGTGGGGATTTTCGTAGAGACGTCGGAAGGCCACACGGCTGCCATCTTCGTTGATTGAGCAAAAGGATCCAAGCCCTTCGTTTTCCTGCCCATGAAAAAACCAAATTCGTTCCCAATCTTCTGAAGAGTTCAACTCGTAGAGAAACAAAGCACCACCGTCTGTGTTGTCAGCGGCTGTTGATGACTCGCTGGAAGCCGTGCTGAAATCGTAGGAAGGACTGCCAATGAGTAGTCGATTCCCAGTTTTCTTGGCAAGCAACGCAGTGGCTCCAAATTGGACCTGTCCGAGGCCTCCAATATTGTTGAATCTCGGAGGAGAAAGCGGCGAGCCGACTCCAGTGAAAGCAGAGGCAACGAGATTGCGCTGGTGAAGAACCGACGGAGCTCCGAGGTTGTTGTTTCCTCGGAGCGACACTTCATCGGCGGTGACCAATAGCGACAAGAACAGGACGCAGACAACAGAGATCATGGCAAAGACAAGTCGAAGAAGAGATGAGACGCAATGAAGAACGAGGAATGAGGAATGTCAACAACAACTGTTTGAACAAAAGAATGAGGATGCTCGAATGCGAAACAACCGTCAACTGTACCGGTACAGCGTATCGAAAAGACAACGCCATGTCGCAAGCGACAAAAAAAGAAACGACACGGCGAAGCTACGGCGACGACTTGAAAAAGAAACGGAAGAAGTGAGAGCAAACCTTTCTCTCCTGTTGTTGGCAAGCGCCTCCGGTACGGTAAGACCAAACTAATCGCTTGGCTGTGGAGTACCGTAATGTGACTGCTCACCAAACACTGTAGTGAATCGAATCTCTTTCTGGTTGTTTGGAATTGCTTTCGTGAGTGCCGTCGTGCGCGGTCTCCAAACTGCAGGGCAGAGTCCTCAGTCGAGTGACTGCTTTACAACTCTTCACTTTTCGGTGGAGGCAACGGTTTTTTTTCTTTGGCGGGAATGCTCGAGAAGAAGTGGATTAATACGCCAAAGCAAATTGAGAGCATCCCGATTTTGCAGACGACATGAGGCTGCTGGGGGCTGTGGGACAATGGAAACTCTAGTGTCTGACACGAGGTCGTTCACGACACGACCAGACAAATAGTTTACTAGTATTCGTAGGATGAAGTATTACAGGGTCATGTGGCCGTCCAAATGCGTCGGGGCGACGGCCCAGCTCCTACATCGTAGTCTAGGTTGTACGCTGTACCTATGCATACCGTATTGCTAAGACTGTGCTGCCCATTTGGCTCTCAGCGCCATGTTCATTGCCTCATTTGTGGACACTGTGCTTGGGTGATCCTTTCCAAGGACCTTCTCTCTGATGGCAAATGCTTTCCTGTACTCTGTCAAAGCAGCCCTATAATCACCTTTAATGTGCATCACAAAGCCAATATTGCTGTGGGCAGATGCAACATCAGGATGGTCATCTCCAAGTGCTGCGACAAAGATTGCCAGGGCCTTGCGGTACTCTTCCAGTGCACCATCAAAGTTGCGCACCATCAAAGCTACACCACCAATATTGTTGTAGGTTGTGGCAACATTTGGATGCCCCTCCCCCAGAACTTGTTGTCGGATCCTGAGAGCTTTCTTGTACTCTTTCAGAGCACCATCAAAGTTCCCCTTGGCCTTCAGAACCATCCCAAGGTTGCAATATGTTGCAGCAGTGTCCACGTGATCACACCCAAGCACCGATTCTTCAATTGCCAAAGCCTTGCTTAGTTCTTGTTCGGCGGCATCATAGTCACCTTTGGTGTAGTAAAGCATGCCAAGGTTATTGTATGCTGTGGCAGTGTCGGTGTGATTTTTTCCAAGGACTGATTCTCTGATTGCTAGAGCCTTCTTGTACTGAACGAGCGCTCCATCGTAATCCCCCATACTATCCAATACTGCGCCAATGCAATTGAAGGATGTGGCACAGTCTGGGTGATTCTGACCAAAGGCTCTCTCACGTGCATGAAGTGCCCTTCTGTGGTAATCCAATGATTCATCATATCTCCCCATGGACTCATACACCTCACCAATTGCTGAGTAGGCTGTGGCTGTATCAGGGTGGTCATCACCAACAGCTGATTGGAAGATTGACAATGCTTTTTTGTATTCTCTCAAAGCTGCATCATAATCACCCCTGAAGTGAAATGCTCCACCAATTGAAACATAGGAATGGGCTGTGTCTGGATGATCCTTTCCCAAGACTGATTCCCTTACAGCGAGCGCTTTCTTGTATTCCTCTAGAGCTGAATCATACTCTCCCTTATGTGTGAGGACTGATCCCAGGCACACGTAAGTTTGAGCTGTTTCGGGGTGTTCCCTCCCCAGTTCTGATTCTCTGATGGCCAGGGCCTTCTGGTAGTACATCAATTCAGTGTCATAATCACCCTTCTCGCCTAGCACCACTCCAATGTCATTGTAGGTTGTGGCAGTGTCAATGTGTTTCTTCCCCAGAGCTGACTCTCGAATAGCTAGAGTCTTGTGGTATTGCTCCAGGCTGGCATCGTAGTTTGCTTGAAATGCGAATGCTAATCCAATGCTTCCATGAGTTGTGGCAGTGAATGGGTCATCTTTGCCCAGCACAGATTCTCTTATAGCCAGAGCTTTCCTACATCCCACCAAAGCGGCATCATATTCTCCTTTCACAATCAGAACATCACCAATCACATTGTAACAGGTGGCAGTGTCCTCGTGATCAGTACCAAGTGCTGATTCCCTGATTGCCAGAGCTTTCTTGTACAGTTTTAAGGCAGAATCATGGCCCCCAAATTCTTGAAGCAGCAGTCCAATCTTGACAAAAGTATCTGCAGCATCAAGTGAGTCCGGTGAATTGTCCCAATCATCCCCAAATGATGACACTACATCAAGCACCCACCGCCGAAGAAGTTCGTTGACACTGTGGTTCAGACTGCCACAGCCACTATCATCTTCAATCAACTGCAAAATGGCCAACCTGTCGGACTCGATTGAAGCTTGAGCATTTTGGACCCTTGTGTTGGCGAGGGCGTTGTACAAGGCCGTGATTCCAGTCCCAATATCTTTTCCACCCTCTCCAAACAGGTCTTGTTTCAGTGCTTCCTTTTCTCGGGGTGGCATCAGAATACTCACGTCACAGTCCTCTTGCTGATCGGCAGTGAAAAGTTCGAAAATACACCAGACGCGAGTCAAATAGAGCGGCTTCTGCCAGGGCGCCATTAAGGCCAACACATGACCAATCCCTGTGACACGTTGATAAAAGATATCACGGAATCTTTGAAACGGCACTGCCTTGCTATTCTTTTGGTTTTCCACAACCCGATGTTGATTGTTGCACAAGCAGCAAAGCCAAATGTAGGTGGTGGTGGGGTCCACCTTGTTGGTGGTACAAAAGTCCGAGAGAGTTTCCACGATGTCTCCAATGCTGTAAATCCAACCGTAGCTGAGCATAAATGCTGCTGGACCAGCAGGAGGAGGGGCAACACTGTTATGGCTGCTGATGTTGTCCAGCAGTTGCTTTTTGCTGTTTCTCTTGGGAGAAAGGAGCGCATGAACATAGGAGACTCCTTTCTCTCCGTCAACGGGACAGAGCATATTGAGTCCTTTTCCTCGAATCACCACTGGTTCAATCTCATAAATGGTAGCATTACGGTCAAAGCCAGCGGCGTGAACTTCGTCCATGAATCCAGTCTCGAGCCAATGAACGCTGACACCCAAAGTTTCCAAACCCCCATCCTGAAAAAGATGTTGCTCTCGATGCTTCAGATCCGCCAACTCTGCCTTGGCGGACAGTTCCACGTCCATGTCCTCTCTGACAGTGCGAGCTGGCGCCCGTCTTTCTGGTCCTCCGCCGCTCACCCGCTTCATTATGCGTTTCATGTTGCTTCCTCTGGTTTTGTGTCGTGTCTTTTTTTGTTTTGAAGCTGGTAGCGGCAGGGATGTTTACAATCGGTACGAGACGACGCAGGTGACGCGCCACCACTGCAATCGAATCCAACGGTTGGATTTCTTCCATGATCTTCTTTTATTATTCGATCAGCTACAGTCGTACCGGTACTAGTACATGTATTCGATTGGAGAGTCGATGTGACGTGGCACTTTCAAAGTGAGTCGAGTCGAGTCGAGCGAGTCAAAGCAGGCGGAAGCCGCATCAGAACAAGATATCGCGTCTTGGCGTCACTTGCTCATTTTTGTATTTCACCACAATCTTTCTTTGTGGCTCTTTATTTTGTCCCTGTTGGACGCTATCTCCTTTCTCCTTTTGCATTACAGAAGCAACTACAACGCAACCATGGCGGAGTTAATGTTTGGATTGAATCAAACCAAGAAAAAGAAGACCGTGCAGGCCAAAGTACGCAAGGACAAGTCGGAAGAGTGGAATTACAAGGCCAAAGGTTCGTGCGTGAGAGATCAACGGTGGCATACTGCACGCTCATTAGATCCCCCCTAACCTCCTCTTTCATCAATACATTGCTCTACTAGGACCCGACGGCCTAGAACAGTATCGATTCAACCAAACCGAACGTGATCAAAAGCAAAAGGAGACGGCCCGTGAAACCAAGAAAAACTTGAAGGATATCCAGGCCAAGGGACCTGACGGGTAAGATTTCGAAATACTACACTATGTTATCGAAAGAAGGGAAAATATGTTCACACTGATTTCTCTTTTTATTTGTTTTTTAGATTGGAGCAGTATCGGTTCGAACAAACACAGAAGGAAGCCCAATGGAAACAGACCGGTACGTTCAAAAGATACCTTGGGAAGTTCCCTTGTTACTTTTCGATATTCAACAAGCTAATCTATTTTTGTCGGTGCGTTCAGGGCGAGATCAAATTAAAGATAATACGAAATTTGATATGGCGAGGTCCTTGTTTGGAGGAGGAGAAGGAGGCGAGGAGGAAGAAGAAGAGGAGTGATCTAATATCTTACCTCGGTTGGCCTCATCAATTATTTATACACGACAAATATTATTGACAGGAGGTGGTGAACTTTTTGGAGAAGGCCGATGTGAAACGTAACAGTTTGGAGAAATTCAGTATAAAAAAGGATGAGAAGTGGAAGTTTCAAGGAGGCCTGCAAACGCAAGGAAACACGGAGCCACAGTGGCAGAGAAGGCAAGTCATTCTATTGTTATAACCAGTAACAATAGGATAACCTCGTTACGTTGAATTTCTAGCTTGGCTATCTTGGTTCGAGAAAATTGATGCTCTCTGAATACGGTGTCCCCGCAAAACATGGTGGTTGTGGCCGGTCTCGATTTGGCTTTGCTATGCACAGCCAACTCTCGATCGTTTTGGTCCAATATTAATTACAATACCGGTAGCTAGCCACTGTAGTATCAGAACCCACCCCACCCCGACCGTTCTCGCTAGCTAGCAAGCTAGATGTCATGAGATACGACTTTAGCAAAAATGGTGTGAACTAAATATTTTAAAACACAAACTGCGGAATCGCATCGTTTGTCTTTTTCATCCCCATGGGAATCATCAGTGCTGCTTCTTGATGGTACTTGCGAAAAGTGGGATTTTGTCGGCAGGCTCCACAGATTCGTTACAGGACTCTGGCAATTCTCTGGATCATTTCAGGATACAAGTCATGAGATGAAGTGAAATGTCAGATGTACCAAGCAAGTACTCAATGGCGGAGACATTGGGTCGTGGGGTAGCCTCTTCGCGAGGGATGACAACCTGCACAGCTGCACAGTCAACCAACTAGAGACTTGTGTCAGGAGGGAAATATAGGGTCTGCAAGCTGAATCACTCAATGATTAGTTCGGTTCTATGAAACTGCTGCGCTGACGCTTGATGGAATCAAATCCATTTTGAGTTACACGCATCAAGAGGGCTATCACATTTGGGTTGGTAACGCGGTCGGGTAGCGGAGCCAAGCTTGTAGAGGGCCTGCACTACTACTCTCATAGTTTCTATGGGCATGGACTCTGGAGGATTAGAACATACATGTAGTTTGAAGCTGCCAGTGGGGTCGCTGAATCGAAACCAAAACCCCTGATGATGGCCACAGTCAAAGTACGAAACGAATTACCCAGATCCACCAGATGAACCTACATGGAGGTATGAACGCCTCATTTCCATGAAGGTGGCTAGCCAAAAGTTCACACCGTCCAGCTCTGTAGACCCACCGAATTGACCCCTACAACTCTCCTTGCAAGGGCAGTCGCCTCATTCTCACCGTGTAATGCGCCTCTCGTGTCATTGATTGGAGGTCAGTGGCAGATGCATGCATCAATCAAATGCCGCCAAGCTTAGTAGTTAATTCCAGATTGTTCTTCCCGGCCCAAGCTCCCAAGATTGCCAGGTCTCTGGTTCGTCGTCAAACTGTGTTGTTGCCACTCTGGCATCATGTTCGTGTTCTCAGGTTGTCGTATCCATTTCTGTTGTCGGGGCGTCGGCTAGCTCCTGATCATATCGGATTTCGTGGTGTTTGTGTGACTCTGTCTCTATTTGCTGCGTGCTATCAGCCTGCTCTTCGTCGAATGTACATGTAGATTGGTCGTTTGCAACTTGATCCTGATCCTGATTGTCCTGCAGGTTGTCGTTATTGTCCATCTGCTTGCCTTCGACATGTGAAGGAATGGCAAAGTCCTCAATGTCCTCAAAACTTTCCAAGGATTGTTGTTTTGCTGCCATGGCATCATTACTTGCAAAGGATTGCACTTCCTGTTTTGCTTCCTGAGAGGCAGAGTGAAACCCAGAAGGGACGAAGGCAACATGTTCTGTCATCTGTGTGGAATGACCGCCACTGGTTTCCAAATCGGCGGCGGCGGCATCGGCGGCATTATTGCAGCAGCGCTGTCCAGACGCATCTTGCTGCATTGCTGATTGTCCACCGCTACTGCTACTTTTGCGCTTGAGGAACTGTTGGACGCACAAGTGTCGCCGAAGCCATGGACGCCACTTGGATTGAGTGTAGATCAGCTGATGATCATTGCAGGAGACGTGAGAAAACTGCGAACGTTACATTGACACACATGCCATAAAGGGGTGAAGCGATGCTTACCAGATTGAATGTCCCTTGACTGGGTAGAAAGATGGCACTGAGACAGTGCAAGACCTGGTAGCCAATGCCATTCTTTGGTAGCTTGACGACCCCCAAGACATATGATGGCATGTAGGCCAAGAAGAAGGAAAACGAGTAAATCAGGCCGGTTTCCATGGTAGTGTTGCTGAGGCTTTCTTCTCTTTTCCAAAAGATGCTGGCCAGATACTGTTCCACAGCCTTGAAGGAAACCATGAATTGTGGGATTTGCACCATCCCACGTTTTCGCCCCGAATTATTGTTGCAATGGCTACTTGTAGTCGAAACTTCGACCGATGGTTGACACAATGTTTGCCCGGACGGTCGGTGGCTGCTGGCACCGGACATGGTGGATGCTGGATCCCAGCGACGTGCCCTTGTTTCAACCCGTCGTACAGTGCAGTACAGAACAATCATGGAGAGCAAGATAATGACAAAGCAAATAATGAGATGGATGCCTCCAAAGTTCCACTGATACGCCTTGGCATTCTGACCCCGTCCACAGACAGATGGGTCTGCTTCACAATACGGTTCAGCCACAATGTGAGCCCAGCAACCCATGATTCCTGCTGGGTTGAATACTTCAGTGGCTAGTCCGTAGATGGCGCTTCCCAGGATAAATGGTAGAATCGCCAAGTGCACAATGGGCACCAGCCACTTGGTCAGTTTCTGATCGGGTATGCTGTAGCGTACCGCCAGTACGAAGTAGATACAAAGTGATGCATTGTACAGAGGCACGCCTAACATGGAGAATACCAAGTGCAGATAACCTTTCAGAGTGAGCTCATGCCATGAATGGATTGTTATACCAGTCGGTATGGCCCCCATCCCAAGCGCGCTCACCTAGACCAAGTTGAACCAGAAAACCTTGCAGAGAACATGTTTCAACTGTACCAGGCCCATCAAAATTGGGATATGGAGCCAGGTAGGTGGAGAAGGATAATCCTAGAGAGCCACACACATCCAAGAACGTCAGTCCAATCAGAAGGTGATCTCTGGTCCTCTTGATGTGGAAGGCGTCGGAATGCAGGGTCTTGAAGATTCTGGTGAGCAAAAAGATGGAAGAGCAGCAGGAAATGGAAGCAGTAATAACAGGAACGACCGTCACAAAAGTGTTGAACACTTGGGAGTCGGTGGTCGCCATCTTATCCCTGCAGCCAGCCACTGCAATAAGATGTTGGAGAGTGAAGGCTTGCAAGAGACTCGACTCCCTTCCACCTGCTCTAGCTTGAGTTATTGCTGGCGTCGAAGGCTCTCGACGACTACTGCATGCTCGCTGCTCGCTGCTCAGACCTCTGATCCTTCGATCTGTACCTCGTTCCTCGTCGTTCCCGCCTTCTGACTGGGAGGCTGTGGAGTTCGTTCGGGGAGGAGAAGGGAGCTAAAGAGATAAAGGGTTCGGAGGTTTAGTCGCAGTTTGATTGCAGGGGCAGTCACTTGTGTTATTTCACAAAACGATAAACGATGCCGAAGGTGCACCGTCGACCGTGGTTTCACAGCTGTTTCACAAACCCGAGATCCGAGGGAGAGGCTCAACTGAGCCCTGGGCTGAGGCCGGAAGGCAAAGCCGCTGCAAAAGCCAAGGGCGACATTGAGGCGGGAGACTTTGCATGAAACCGGTACGTAATAGCTACGTAATCTATAGCCAACATGCCCGAGGAAACAGGGGGAAAGTTGCTACTGTATTGGAACAGGAGCGCCATGGTCGATTATCGATCAAGTAGGTAAGTACCGGTATAAGTACTATTAATCAATGTGTGAAACTGAAAGGTAAGTACCGGTACTACCATGAAGGTCCTGCAAAACATGAAAATCTGGAATTGAAGTCATTTAGCAAATCAGTATTTTCGTCACCATTCTACACCATTCAACAAATTGGTGATGAATTCATCACCGTTCATCCATATCACGTGCACAATTTAATAATTAATCACATTTGTTTTTTTTTAAACATTAATTCATCGTATTTAAAACTACATGTCTTTCAGAACTTTTCAGGTACGGTACCGGAACCAGCCTGTAGGCCATCCACTGTTCTTCTTGATGTTGTCAGCAAAAGCACGCTTTACCACTATCAGTTGTGAGAACTGGCAATTTACGATGAGTACTGTAGTCAGTAAAGACTTACTACTTGGGGTACTCTAGATTCCAGACTCCAGACTCCAGACCCAGTGAAAGTCCCTTGGAAGCGTCTTCTAACTTCTGACCGCACTTCCGTGTCTTCCGCACGGCCGCAAGGTACCACCGGTACAGCCGTACCACGGTCGAGCTATGTCATAGGCAGCTGCAATGCAGGTACGGAGTTCGGACGTCTCTGAGGGAAAGTTGACTTAGTTTTCCGCATCCTCTTGGCACCAGTAGCTAGCTACTGTAGTATCAGAACCCACCGACCGTTCTTGCTAGCGGCTAGATACTAGTAGATGGTCACGAGATGAAGTGCACTGTCAGATACTCAATGGCGGAGACATTGGGTGGTGGGGAAGTCTCTTCGCGAGGGACGCTTGATGCACTTGAGTTTGCCCGCTTCGTAACTGTGCATAGTCTGCAAACTAGCTAGAGACGCGTGCCAGGAGGGAAATAGAGGGCCCGCAGTTTCAATTAGTAGCTCAATGGTCAGTAGATAGGGTCTATGTAACTAATGCGATGATGCTTGATGAAATCTACTTTGATGACTCAAGAGATCCATCGCTCTTGGGTTTATGAATGACGTGGTCCTGCAGACATAACACAGCGGAGCCAGGCTTGTAGAGGGCCTGTATAGTTTCTATGGGCATGGCCTTTGGAGGATTCGAACATAGTTTGAAGCTGTCAGTGGAGTTGCTGAATCGAAACCAGAACCAGGCTATTCATTCCAACTCCAAGGGATACCTGCTCGGGGCCCTGATGATGCCCACAGTCGAAGTACGAAACGACCTTCCAAGATCCTAGGACGAACCGACAGGTATGAACGCCTCATTCCCATGGAGGTAGCTAGCCGAAAGCCGACACCGCCCAGCTCTGCAGACCCACCGCATGGACCCCCACAACTCTCGTTGCAAGGACATGTGACTCATTGTCACGGTGTAATGCTCCTCTTGGGTCATTGATATTGAGGTCAGTGGCGCATGCATGCAACAATCAAATTTTTGCCACTCCATCATCATGTTCTTGTTCTTTGGTCGTCGCATCCATTTTTGTTGGTGGGGCTTCGGCTAGCTCCTGATCATAATGGTTTTCGTGGTGGTTGTGTGACTCTGTCTCTATTTGCTGCGTGCCATCAGCCTGCTCTTCGTCCAATGTAGATTGGTCGTTTGCAACTTGATCCTGATCCAGATTGTCCTGCAGGTTGTCATTATTGTCCATCTGCTCCCTTTCGACATGCGAAGGAATGGCAATGTCCTCAAAACTTGCCAACGATTGTTGGTTTGCTTCCATGTCATCATTACTTGCAAAGGATTGTATTTCCAGTTTTGCTTCCTGAGAGGCCGAGTGGAACCCAGAACCGCAAAAGGTTGAGGATCCTGTCATCTGCGTGGGATGACCACCACTGGTTTCCACATCATCGTCGTCGTCGTTGAAGCGATCGGCCGTTTTATTGTGGCAGCACTCTCCAGGCGCATCTTGCTTCATTGATGATTGTCCACCGCTACAGCTACTACTTTTGCGCTTGCAGCAATGCTGGCGCTGTTGTTGAAGCCATGGACGCCACTTGGATTGAGTGTAGATCAGCTGATGATGATCATTGGAGACGTGAGAAAACTGTGAACGTTCCATCAACACGCATACGGAACCACAAACCGATGAAGCAATGCTTACCAGATTGAACGTCCCTTGACTGGGTAGAAAGATGACACTGAGACATTGCAAGACCTGGTAGCCAATGCCATTCTTTGGTAGCTTGACGACCCCCAAGATATAAGATGGCATGTATGCCAAGAAGAAGGAAAAGGAGTAAATCAGGCCAGTTTCCATGGTAGTGTTGCTGAGACTTTCTTCTCTTTTCCAAAAGATGCTGGCCAGATACTGCTCCATGACCTTGAAGGAAACCATGAATTGTGGGATTTGCACCAGCCCACGTGTTCGCTCCGAATTATTGTTGCAATGGCTACTCGTCGTCGAAAAATCGACCGATGGTTCATACGATGCATGAGCCGACGGTCGGTGGCGGCTGGCACCGGACAGAGCGGATGACGGGTCCCAGCGACGTGCCCTCATTTCAATCCGTCGTACAGTGCAGTAGAGCACAATCATGGAGAGCAAGATAATGACAAAGCAAATAATGAGATGAATGCCCCCAAAATTCCACTGGTAAGCCTTGGCATTCTGACCCCGTCCACAGACAGATGGGTCTGCTTCACAATACGTTCTATCGACGGTGTGAGCCCAACAACCCATGATTCCTGCTGGGTTGAATACTTCAGTGGCTAGTCCATAGATGGCGCTTCCCAGGATAAATGGTAGAATCGTTAAGTGCACAATGGGCACCAGCCACTTGGTCAGTTTCTGATCGGGTATGCTGTAGCGTACCGCCAGTACGAAGTAGATACAAAGTGATGCATTGTACAGAGGCACGCCTAACATGGAGAATACCAAGTGCAGATAACCTTTCAGAGTGAGCTGATGCCATGAATGGATTGTTACACCGGTATACCGTTATGTCCCCCATCCCATGCAAGCTCACTCAACTCACCTAGACCAAGTTGAACCAGAAAACCTTGCAGAGAACACGTTTCAACTGTGCCCGGCCCATCGAAATTGGGATAAGGCGTCAGGTAGGTGGAGAAGGATAATCCTAGAGAGCCACACACATCCAAGAACGTCAGTCCAATCAGAAGATGATCTCTAGTCCTCTTGATGTGGAAGGCGTCGGAATGCAGAGTCTTGAAGATTCTGGTGAGCAAAAAGATGGAAGAGCAGCAGGAAATGGAAGCAGTAATAACAGGAACGACCGCCACAAAAGTGTTGAACGCTTGGGACTTGGTGTTCGCCATATTGTCCCTCCAGCCAGCAGCTGCGATAAGATGTTGGAGAGTGAAGACAAGAGACCACTATCCAGCTACTACTAGGTAATAGCTAGTACATGTCCTTTGTTGGCGAAAGTGCGATAGCGCTGAAAGCTCTCGACGCTGCTCATTCCAAGTGAATTCTCGGCACTCGGCGGTTCGAAGTGGAGTTCGTTTGACGCAGAGAAAGATTGGAGGCCTCCGAAGTCCATGACAAGGGCATTCAATTCTGTAAAAATAGCCAGACAATGCTTCTATTCTTTAACTCTTTTAAAATAAGGCTTTTATCAACTCGGTACTAGAGTACAGCTATTAAGTACTCCAGGAACTGATCCGAGTTTCACATTTCACAGAGATGAGTTTCACAAAACCTGAACCGAGCTGGAGATTGCTGAAGGTGCACGGTTGACCGAGGATTTACAAGCTGGAAGCGGCTCAACCGACTGGGGAATGCAGAATGCGCATAATTAAAATATTAAAAATGAAATTTTTTGGTACTACACTTAAGTCGTGGAAGACACCCACGTGAGCCTGTCGCGCACCGGATTTAGGAGATGATTACGGTTTCGAAACCAGCTCTTACCGTTAGAGCCAGTCACGAATCAGCTCCTAATTCAAAAACCGGCTCATACTGGCTTCTAACTCTAAGAGCTGATTTTCGAACCAGCTCTTAAATCAAACAAGACTAAAAACCAGCTCTAATCGGCTCTTATCCACTCGTATCCGCTCCTATCGGCTCTTACACCTCCTCCTCGGTTCGAACACCACTCTTGCAACCAATGATTGATTGTATCGACAGCACTGCTTGTTGTTGCTACTAATACCCTTGCGACGAAGAGTCACTGGAGCTATCGTTGTCTGATCTAGGCTCGCTAGCCTTTGCTTTGTCCTTGTCCTCAAGGAAATTGTGCAGTTTGCGAAGCCTCGTCTCTTGGTTGATATGACCTCGAAATACTTTGAGACTGAACTCTAAATATTCCTCCCGTGTTTGTTGGAACTCCTTGGGCTTCACTCCAATATGACGCCCATCAGATACATCCTGCTTCAGCCACAACTCAGCATCAGAACCCTCCCATCTTGGTTCGCCCTTAGAATTGTGGGTCTTTTTTGGAGTGTTTTTCCGAAAGATGTCGAAGGCTTCTTGGTCCTCTTGTTGTCGATTCACTCTCTTGCCAACAATGTTTTTCAAGTCCCGTAGTCTTCGGGTAAACGTAGGATTGTAGGGCATACCAGCAAAAGCTGCATCTTCCTCAAACATCTCATAGACTCCTCTTGGCTTGATTGTTTTGCTATAATCGAGGGGAATGGTCCCATTTTCAAACCCTGCTTTAAGCAGAGCTCTTGCTGGATGATCACTCCATCCTTTATCCTGCTCCTCGTCGGATGAAACATCAGCCACAGCGGCGCCAGCAGCCCCGAAAAAGATAGGCACAGCTGCCATTGTGTGGTTGTGCAATTTTATTGTGTGGTCGCGGTTCGCGGTTCGAAGCTTTTGGATTTGAATTGTCAGAAAAGATACTTTTGGCATGGCATGCTCTACACCTAAGCATTTTGCCTCACAATGTGAGCACTATTAGAATGAAATATAGCCGATAGAGCTCTGGGAAGTGGTTCTGTGGATTCTGTCTTTTCTGAGTTGGTCAAAAACAATCCAAAAAGAGGTCACAATGGAGGGGACACCAAGACGATCCAAGCGAAGCAGTACTGCTTCTTTGCCCCCACGGACACCAACCAACCAATCGTCGAAGAAAGAAAGCAGCAAAGCATCCACAGGGCGAAAGGGACCACGGACGAGGAGCAAGGGAGGGGAAACAAGCGACGCTGACTCCCAAGCGTCAAGAGCTAGTGCTGGATCTCGTGGGAGCGGGTCGACTGGAACGAGGACAAGGCTGCCTCTTTGGATTGAGAAACAACTAGCCGAAGACATTGAGAGTGAAGGAGGTATCCTTGGATTTGACGCAAACAAGGCACAAGGACTGTCGGAGCTTTGCGATTATCGAACCGAAGATCTGAACCAACCAGAATTCTACGGTACTCGAGGATCTGACCAACGAAGAAAGATTTCCCAAAAGGTCACGAGGTGGAAGAAGGCTGATCCAGCGAAGTATCTGGAAAGGCTTGCTGTGTTGGGTGTCACTCCATCCAAGCTGCGCAAGGGCAAGAATAAAGGAAGCCGAAAGAAAGGGTTGGTGCCTCAACACAAGAAGAAGGATCGTGTGCCTGAAACGATCGAAGCAAAGACGGTAGACGACGATATTTCTTTGGACGATCTGTCCCAAGACTTATCTCTATTATCCATTGAGGAAGAGGTAGAACCTTCAATAAAAGAGCCTGCCGCAAGAAAGCAAGAAGAAAGCAAGAAGCCCCCAACAAACGATAGCACTCCAAAGAGCCGAAACAAGTCCAAGAAATCTACTCCACTCAAAACAACAGCAGCAAAGAAACAAATCAAAATGTCAAACAGTTTTGGTACATCCTTGCTCGCAATGTGTAATGCTTCTTGACGCACTCGACTGCTAACTCTTTTTGTTTTTGCATCCAGGGTCCGATGTTACGCGCACCATCCACATCGATCTCTCATCCCCGGGAGATCAAGGCGAGGGTGTGTTTGTCTTCAAGATTTCAGCATTTGAGCATGGTGGGTGGAATGGCAAGATGGAATCGAGATCGAATTGTTTGTGGATCCAAGGGACGTTGATGAAGAGATGTACAAAATCGAGTATATGGAAGGATCAAATTTTGCCGTCCTCTACAAGCCAGTCCTCCCAGCTGGGTTTCGTTTGGATGCAACCGAATATGGAGCCCGTCAAGCAAACGTTCAAATCAAGACTGGCCACAAGGCAGCTCTTACGGCCTATGGGCGATTGCCTCCACAGGATGTGTACCAAAAGTTTTGCTTGCAATTCAGTGATAATGTGAAGCTTACCGAAGCGCCGTTTGGGGTGACTGGCTCTGCTGGAGAGCAAGTCGACACCGCTGCGATGAAGGTGATTTTGTATCGCAAGGGAACGGGAAAGAAGGATAAAAGCAATCAAGATGTGCTGGACTTGCACACTCGAATCACTTTTGTGTTTGCTGATTTGGCCAAGAAAACTGTTTTGGATGGTGCCACAAAGCGCGGTTCGAAGGCAGTCGATGATGCATTTGGAGGTTTGTAATGCATGTTGAGGAAGCTGGCTGCATGAAATATACGAATACTATCAACTACTAACTATAAAGAAATGTGTCTGTCTGATTTGTCTTAGACTTTGTGGATTCTTTTGGCCAAGCTCTCAACCAAATCCTTGTTGGGCAACCAGGCAACAGTCTCTTTCCTGCAGCACCAACCGGAATTCTCGTGGCACCAGTTCTCATGGCACCAGTTCCAGTTCCAGCACCACAACTACTTCCAGCAGCAGCACCAGCACCAGCAGCATCCATGGGGCTACTGTCGCAAGCTGTATCGATGGCCGGATCACTTGTTGGGCGTACCGGCAAGAAGACTGAATCCGAGGATATCGAGGCTACTCAGAAAGCAATGTTTAAAAAGACCGCTGATAGTGAGAACAGAATGACAGTTTCGGAGAAGGGACGAGTAAGTGCAAGAAAGCAAGCACTTGCAAAGGCAAGGTCAGAGCAGGATGGAACAGAACAAATGATTGACACATTGATGGAGGAATTCGATGGTGATGTCGCGGAACGCAGAGCTCTTGGTCTTGTGGAGGAACTCAGCTCTTCTGATCAGCAGGACGTATCTGCTTTGCCACCACTGCCAGATGACGTTGATGCGGATCTGGATGGTCTATTTTCTAGTGAATCTGAGGACGAGTATTTGGATTATGATGATGATGGGGTGTGAGGGATACGTCGATGCCGGAGGACCGTGATAGGCACTAGTAACAACAACAAAACAACAAGATAGTAAAATGATGCCTACCGGTGCTTTATTATCTCTAGATTTCAAACAATGGCTCACCCAATTCCATTTGATATTGGGTGACGACGGCCGATGCTTCAAAGCATATGCTAAACTTCTCAATTCCATGGCGAAAACTGCTTGAATCGGTGCATTTGAAGTGCTTTAGCAAGCCGTTCACGGCCTCATGTCGTGATCGTGCTCGGTTCTTGAATTTGGAAACCTTGGCTGAATCAAGCGAATTGGGCCGACTAATAACATCATCATGACCTTTGTAGCCATGGTCAGCAATTACTCTCTGTCCTGTCTCGCGGTGTTTGTCGGCTAGGCCTCCCTCAGATGTGAACATCTTGATATCATTTGTACCTGCTTTGAAGGGGCCATTAATCCAAATAATTTTGCTCTCTTTCAAAGAAAGGGCAATTTCACAGTTGAAACCAGAGAAGTGATGCTTGAAAGAGAATGCAGTCCTATCTTTGGGATATTTGTCGTGTGTGGGTTCCCATGATTTGATATGTGTGCCGTCAACCGAACCAACCCAGATATCATCTCCCGTATCTAGCCAAACAATTTTAAATATTTTCATGGCAGCAATCTTTCCTGCTATCAGCCACCCTGTATCTCTCAAAATTTGATCACAAATGTGCCATTTGTTCTGCCGCTGTTTCTCTCTGGGATATGCCTTCAAGAAGTGCATGGTGTAGAGGAAGTGATCCAGGTTACATTCAGCTGGTTGCAAATAGGCCTCGGCAACATCGGTTGTTATCAGACCTGCATTCTGCATTCCCCTGTAATTCAAGGGTATGGTACCATCTTTGAATGCTGCTTTCAACACAGCCCTTGCCGGATGATTTTTCCATGCCACATCCAATTCTTCATCATCAGACTCCTCAGCCTCGATTTCGACGGCTACTAGCGGCACAGCGGCCATTGTTCGTGAGATGTGAGTGTGCGACGATGCTTTGTTGTGAGAGGCGATGCTTTGTTGTGAGAGGGCGCGTCACACCAAATTGGTCATTGCAGCAAAAGATTTGGAGAAGGCCTGGCATGCTCTATACCTCAGCAATTTGCCTCGTTACTATCATATCTTCGTATAAAAGCTTCGAATTGAACTGCTGAGGAGTGATTTCCCAATCTTTCTTTGCTCGAACCTCCAAAAAGTAGTCGACAGCAAATCTTCACAATGGACACTCCTCGAAGGCCGAAGCGAAGCTCGAAACCCCCGAGGACACCAACAAGCCAATCGATCAAAGCAAGTGGTAGAGTAACAAGGTCCTCCAAAGGCAAGAAGAGTGGCGGGGACATTAGTGACGCCGAGTCTCGAGGTGCTGTGAGCTCTATTGGCAGCGGCTCTACAGGAACTCGACTGCGCCTTCCTCTTTGGATTGAAAAGCAGTTAGCTGAAGACATAGAAAGTCAAGGAGGAGTTCACGGATCTGACACGGGAAGGGCGCAAGGACTCTCGGAGCTTTGTGACTATCGAACGCAAGATCTTGGCCAGCCAGAGTTCTACGGGCATCGAGGATCAGACCAGCAGAGGAAGATTACCAAGTGGAAGAGGCTGGACAAAGCACAGTACTTAGAAAAGCTCTCTGTTTTGGGTGTGACACCATTCAAACTTTGAAAGGGCAAGAAGAAAGCAAGTCGAACGAAAGGTTCGGTCCCAGATCACAAGAAGGCAGCACCGAGTCCGAAGCTACCTGAAACAATTGAGACGCAGTTTGATGTTCAAGACGATCACTCTTTGGATTTGTCACAGCTATCGAGCGATGACACTGTATTGTCGACAAAGAGCTCCAGGTCAAATCAGGCAAGGGAGAAGGCAACGAAAGACAAGCCGATCTCAAAGAAGGACAAGAGGAAGTCAAAAGACGGCACTCCCAAGTCTCGAAATCGACCAGATCCCAAGAGCACTCCAAGACCAACAACTAATCCTCTTCCATCGCTGACATCAAACCAAGACAGAATGTCGGCAACCGGTACGTAATTTGCTCGCCCTAGCTGTGTTTGCTATTTGTCTCACTCATCCAGTTTGTTGAATGTCTAGGAACGCCCAGGCCCGGTTGAAATCAACACCGCCTACCCGGGAGACCAAGGAGAAGGTGTCTTTGCCTTCCACATCTCAACTTCGAGCATGGTGGAGTTGAGTGGCAAGAGGGTACGGAGATCGAAATGTTGGTTGATCCGCGTGATGTGGAGCAAGAGCTGTACAAGATTGAATATATCGAGGGTACAAATGAAGCAGTCCTGTACAAGCCCGCTTTTCCTGCTCCAATCCGCAAGGACGCTACTGAATATGATCCTCGTCAACCAAACGATCAAGTGAAGACAGGCCACAAGGTTGCTCGGAGCTCGTACGAGCGATTGGCCCCTGAAGAGCGCTATCGCAAGGTTATTCTACGCTGGGACGATGATGTCAAGCTAACAGAATCCCCTTCGGCGTGACTGGATCGGCAGGGGAACGAACCGATACTGCCGACATGAAAATGGTTTTGTATCGAAAGGGAACCGGCCGAAAATACCAGCATCAGCAGGAAATTCTTGCTTTGCATGCTCGACTTACTTGGAAATTTGCAGATCAGTCTAAGAAGCTTGTGTTGGATGGTGCCGGAAAGAGAGGGTCAAAGGCTGCTGAAGATGCCTTTGGAGGTTTGTAATGATTTGCTCTAAGTAGTCTGCTTGAAAGCGATACACGACGAGATCAACTGCAACTATTCAAGACGAGTGCAAGGTAAATGCAAAGTTCGCTTCTTAGTAATTCATAATCTGTAATCTGTGTTGTGAGCTTTGATTGATGCGATCAGTAACGCTAGTTGTAGCGTGTTGATCAATACATCGTGTAGTTGATACGAAGTCAACGTGGTATTTGCGGAAACGGTTCGTTGGCAGATGCTTTACTCCTGTCGAATACTCCAATTTACCGTGTCCTTTTGGTTTCGTTGAGAACGTGTTCTTGCCAGCGTTCTCTGTTCCATCGTGTTGACTCATAAAACATGACCCAATCTACTCACGGATACTCTGAGTCGTGGGAGGAACTGTAACGCTTTCACTCCCCTCAGTGGCGACTGTCGACTCTGAGTGTTTTTCTTACCGCAATCCTTGGTATCTCCTGACCAAAACAGCAGTGCATTCAGCATAGGCCATACCGATGTATAGTCAAGTGTTTGCTGAGGATATCTGCAGGGTTAGTAGATCCAGGGATATGATGAAATCTCAAGAATACTTGCAGCAACAGCTTCCTAGTACGGTGGTAAGAAAGCGCATTGTGTCTTTTGAGAATCTTTGAGTGTGGCATCGAGGCGGTGTTGACTACCGTCTCGTTGTCTCCGAACATCATGGTCGTGTGTCGACAGTACTCCTAGGTACCTGAACGTGCTCCGTAGGTCAATGATCTGTTCAGTGGCGGTACGGGCTGCAACATACTCAGATCCGAACTTGCGGTCTCGACTGTTGATGTAGCTTGCTGAACCAGTCGATGGGAGTCTTGTTCGCTAGGTGTAGGACTCCGGTAACTGAGGCCACTGATGAGATCGTGATAGAGGTTCGCATCCACATATGTGGTGAGAATGACCCGTTTGCCTCGAGGTACCGTGCGTTGTGCGGCTGAACTTCTTTGGCACCATTGGTAGCATGAGTATTCCCATTCGTACTCTTTCTTGGGAATCGCTGAGTAATCCGGTTCCTCCTTTGATACGTATGATGCCGTGTCGCATCTTGGAAAGGTACCCGCAATATTCTCTTGACTCGCTCTAAGTGACCCTTCTTGGTGCTGCCCGAAATCTGGACATCGTCATGGTGCCGTGGCGATATCGAACCTTCCAATTTGGATTGCCCACTTAGACTACCGATGAGTGACTGATATATCTTTTGTGTGTCCATATCGAGTAGCTCTGTTGTGTCAGTCTCTGGGTGGTCTCCTTTGATGAGTGGAGATGAGACTTGTTTGGGCATGTGTCCGAAGATTCGTTGATAGTTGCTGAGTACCTTCTCAATATATTTGCGAGGTGCGTAACTCAGTACTCCGTTCTCATCACGGAAAAATCACATCCTAGGTGGAAGCTGATGGCACCGGTTCCCTTTAGTTTGAACTTGTGCTCCCTTCCAATGTCGCGATGATCTTTGGATGCGTCTTTGCTGACAATAAGGAGGTCGTCTACGTACACAGCGATGTATTCGTAGTAGCTCCCTTTGTCTCTCATCCAGATGTCTGATTCGGTTTTGAAGGAAAGAATCCCATCGAACGAAGAACATCTGCAAATCGTTCATGCCATCGTAACCCAGAAGACTTGAGTCCGTATAGGGCACGGTGATGATGAGGGTGCATCTTCTCGATCTCCAATTCGGGTCCTGCGACAACGTAACCTTCTCTTTCGTATATATGATTCCAAGTAGGCGTTTCCAATGTCTGTTGCCCATACCTCACAATCATTGAGTTCTGCGAGGAATGTGAGGATACGAATCCCTCGTAACGAAACCACACTGGAATAGACGGAGTCTACTGGTGTATCAGTGAGATGTCCTCCAGCGACAAGTCGTGCTTTGTGTCGTCCATCGTGTTTGACTGCGTACACCATATGCACTCGAATCTTCTTCCATCTGGTCCAGGGTTATGTCCCTTTCCTTTGTTGATGAAGGTCTCGTACTCATCAATCTGATTAAGCTCGATCACCTCGGCATCTCTCCACTTGGTATCTCCATTGCGTGCGTCTAGTTCCATGGCTCTTGTCTTCCACAAATGATTCGAAGTTAGGCTGGTTCACCGCCAAACATGGCTCGCTTCACGCAACTCCAGTTGGAAGTTCGATTGGCTTGCTCCAAACCTTTCAGGAGCAAGGCATAGGCAAATATGCGAGGGGTCTCTGTTAGGGAGGCACTAGGATATGGAGTTAGGTTGTATCATTCATTGTATAGTGAAAGTGATGCACGGACATTTTCTAAGTGATGCATGCGTGGCCTCCATGGAGGTCTCTTATTCTATGGCTAGTACCAGGCAAGAAGATGGTTGGCCTGCGATAACAAAATCCGGGGGTGGATGCCAACGCATATAGGTTGGAATAAGCCACCATAGAGACAAGACATGAATCCCGCCACAAGGCCCATGTCTGGATTACAAACATGAGAGATACTTCCCAAGGTCTTATAATAGTAG